GGATTCTTATATTTTACCATTTGCATTTGGCATATTATGATATAACTTGAGGCTTTTTCCATGTATCATTTTGATAAAAATGCTATATTAATTCATCCATTAATCTACTTTATATTGGTTAGAACTTCACAGAAAATAAACATGTTCTTAATATTTTACATTATAGAGTATAATTTATACTATATATTATTAACAACATGATGGTAGTGGATTAATTTTTTTCATAATAATGTCTCTGATCTGTCATTATTTTATGTTTAATGAATTATAAGAATGAAAATCATAAATATTTATTTAACTGTTTTAATCTAATTCTATGAAATTTATTAGTTTTTTTCTGATCTGATAATTAAATTAATTGATAAAGATTCTCTTGCCTGCTAACATATAAGAACATCTGATGTATGGCTTCCATAAATTTGCAGTGTCAATGCTAGAAGAAAGGACCAGTGCTACATTTAACAGCTTATAACACTATATGATAACTCAGATATTCATTTTAGAAATAATTTAAGTTGAATTTTAATCAAAACAAGCAATGAAGAACAGTTCATTGATATATGAACCTAGGCATGCATCTGATATTAGACACTATTGCCTGAGACCCCTAAATTAATTGAATAAGTTAACTATTTATCTGAATTTAATATTAGAAATACATATTACTAAATATGATACATGTGATAAATTTATACTTTACTTGAAATATCAAGAATTTAACTTACTTTTTTACTTATCGTGACAAACTTTTCAGAAATGAATTTTAGTAGTGCATGAAAAAATGCCATATTTAAATCTATCAGTAATTTTTATTTTTTTAATTTATTAAGAGATGATTTCAATGTATTCTACACAGCTGAAATTATTTTTAAATAGCTGAAATATTTTTCCTGAAAATATACAGTTTGATGATTTTGTAATCTCTGACTACTGTTATGCAAATAAATTAAATGAATGATTATTTGTTAAATTAATTAGGTAACTATTTATGATAAGTTTTTTAAAGAATTTAAAATTTTACTTACTTTCTTGACTTGATAAAATTTTCATTATTTGTAAATATGTGAGTAAAGAAAATTTAAGGAATTTATAAAATTAAATAGGTTAGAACTTTAGTTAAAATAGTGAATCAGATTTATTGATTCATGTAGGTCAAGAATTTAAAATAGTGTTATGTTCACTAAGTAATAAAATATAGAATAAAATAAAATTTTAAACCAAATCTTTAACAGGAAAATCATCTTAAAATTCTATAATAAAATATTTTAATAATTACATATTGAGAAAATCATTAGAAGTATCATTTAATAATAATGTTATAAAATAAAATTTTAGTAACAAAATCATTATTTCACAGTAAAACTGTTTTAAATTAATTGACATATTGCTAATTTTAAACATTGAAGTGTTTTAGATTTGATTTATCTTAAGTCATAATGTAGTATCTGAGAATACATAATTCAATTTATTACATATATCAGTATTAGCTGCAAACTATTTTCTTATAGGTGATAGAAATTTGAAAAGTTGAGAAATTTTAGTAGTGTGCAGGACAGGATCATCAAAAACTTGGTATAGGACTCAGGATAGTGAGGCCTTTTATAGAGAGATTAGATTTTTTGGTAAATCCGGGGACACATGTCAATCATCACTTTTTATGGTACACAGTAAGCCTATATGTATAAGTATTGTCAAATGAGTACTGTATGTACAGTACATGTACAGTATACATACAGATGACCAGTGGCGTGCCGTCATTAGAAGCGGTGGAAGCGCCGCTTCCCTTGTATTTTCTAAAAAAATAAATACATATTAATTTTAATTATATGAAAATAATCACACAATATTTTATTATAACCGCATTATGTATCTTATTACAAATTTCTATACTACACGTGAAAAAAACACAAGATTGCTGTTGTATATTCGAATATTAGTGGCGGAGTGGAATCTCTGTATTGTCAGATTCCAAAAAGCCAGATTTGCGCACGCGCTTTACAGAGCACCAACCTCACCCGGTTTAGNTGAAATATTTTTCCTGAAAATATACAGTTTGATGATTTTGTAATCTCTGACTACTGTTATGCAAATAAATTAAATGAATGATTATTTGTTAAATTAATTAGGTAACTATTTATGATAAGTTTTTTAAAGAATTTAAAATTTTACTTACTTTCTTGACTTGATAAAATTTTCATTATTTGTAAATATGTGAGTAAAGAAAATTTAAGGAATTTATAAAATTAAATAGGTTAGAACTTTAGTTAAAATAGTGAATCAGATTTATTGATTCATGTAGGTCAAGAATTTAAAATAGTGTTATGTTCACTAAGTAATAAAATATAGAATAAAATAAAATTTTAAACCAAATCTTTAACAGGAAAATCATCTTAAAATTCTATAATAAAATATTTTAATAATTACATATTGAGAAAATCATTAGAAGTATCATTTAATAATAATGTTATAAAATAAAATTTTAGTAACAAAATCATTATTTCACAGTAAAACTGTTTTAAATTAATTGACATATTGCTAATTTTAAACATTGAAGTGTTTTAGATTTGATTTATCTTAAGTCATAATGTAGTATCTGAGAATACATAATTCAATTTATTACATATATCAGTATTAGCTGCAAACTATTTTCTTATAGGTGATAGAAATTTGAAAAGTTGAGAAATTTTAGTAGTGTGCAGGACAGGATCATCAAAAACTTGGTATAGGACTCAGGATAGTGAGGCCTTTTATAGAGAGATTAGATTTTTTGGTAAATCCGGGGACACATGTCAATCATCACTTTTTATGGTACACAGTAAGCCTATATGTATAAGTATTGTCAAATGAGTACTGTATGTACAGTACATGTACAGTATACATACAGATGACCAGTGGCGTGCCGTCATTAGAAGCGGTGGAAGCGCCGCTTCCCTTGTATTTTCTAAAAAAATAAATACATATTAATTTTAATTATATGAAAATAATCACACAATATTTTATTATAACCGCATTATGTATCTTATTACAAATTTCTATACTACACGTGAAAAAAACACAAGATTGCTGTTGTATATTCGAATATTAGTGGCGGAGTGGAATCTCTGTATTGTCAGATTCCAAAAAGCCAGATTTGCGCACGCGCTTTACAGAGCACCAACCTCACCCGGTTTAGCCGGTGGAAGCCTACGACCTTGAGTAGTTGATGCTACACATTCCAACGCTTCCAATTCTATTCCGGGCTGTTAGCCGCCCGCCCGCTAGATATTTGACCGATTACCGTGTTTCCCCGAAAATAAGACACCCGCAGAAAATAAGACCTAGCACAGATTTTGCTGAATTGCGAAATATAAGACCTCCCCCTGAAAGTAAGACCTAGCAAAGCTTTTGTTTAGTCGTAACGGTCATCGACAGATGGTTGAAAGTACAGCCACTGATTGGTCAGCAGACAATTACGCCACACGGCATGATTTGCATAAGACTATGGCTTGGGAATCACAGATTTGCATAATGTTATCGCTGGTGATCGCTAATTGGTCAGCTGGGAATCACGCCACATCACATTTGCATAGTGCTACGGTTCAGTAAGCAGTAATTGGTCATCGAGCTCGATGTGGACACTATAAAAAGGTTAAGTTGAATGTGTCGCAAGGTGTTCTCTCGAACCTGTTTAGCGTATTGTTCAACAATAAATGTGAATTCGTCTTCATGGAAATATAAGACATCCCCTGAAAATAAGACCTAGTGCATTTTTTACAGCAAAAATTAATATAAGACACTGTCTTATTTTCGGGGAAACACGGTACGTGAATAACGAGTAGATTTATAACTTAATCCAACCGATAAGAATTTACTGGTATGTTTTTACGATAGTTCTGTATAGTTGACAGGAGTTAAAAAAATCCATTAAAATATTTGATATATTTATTCCGCTCTCTGATTTTATATTACTCACGGATTTTAATGTTAAACCAGTGATATTACGGTTTCGTATATCCCATCTTTAAGGAGATGTAGAAAAAAACGTGTACAATTCTTGTATAATGTTAAAAAATTAACTGTTACTTTGACAGCATCATTTACAACTAAATTTAATGAATGAGACGCACAGGGTACAGTATAAATAAAGCGCAGAAATTTATTTTCCTTAAATTTACGATTTATGTATCCGTTTGTCATAAAAAGTTGTCTTTCCACTTTTTCCCGAGACTACAAATATTCGAGTACAAAGTAACCGGTTTTGACTTATTTCTACTTAAGAAGTAGTTAAATAATTAAGCGATTAGGGAATTAGGGACCCAAAACCCTGATGAAAGAGCCGAAATTTTACTTAAACAAAAGCCTAACCGAACCAATCTCTAGCCGAGTACAGTGGGAGTGATTTATTTGAAATATTAGATGTAATAAAGACGGACATTTTTCCAGTTCGATGAGTGATCGAAAAGTTGTAAATTTTGGAAATTTCCGTGGACAATACCTGGTCCTAAAACGAATTAGAAAACAAACGACGGACAATCTATTAAGTTTAACATATTTAGACTTTACAGCTATGGGGAGAAACGTTTAAAATTTACAAGACCCCTGTCGCGTCTTTTGACATTTGACATTGACCGGTATCTGCACCCTCGGGATTTGGCAGCCCGCGTGCATGTACACACCGCACTCCTAGCAGGACCGTCTCAGATTTCACTCGTAGGGAGGGAGCTATTTGAATAACTTTTAAGTGGTTAGGATTTAAAGAGTAAAGAATATTTTGTTATTTTTATGTACGTTTCATTACAAAGCTACATTTAATTATAATTTTCTTTACAAGTATATTCATACAATTGAAGAATATTTTGTACCAGGTATGGGGTGTGTTCTTTTATTCCTCCGCGTAACTCCGCGCGAGCGACATCCGTTTAAAAATTCCTGCGGAACGCGTTCCTAAATTCAGGTCGGAGTGCGCGCCGTCGAACGGCAAAAACTGCCGCTTGTAGCAGTAGTTTACGGTGGAAAGCAACATGGCGTCCTCCATGGCTCAGATAGTTTCGTTTCGGAGTCCATTATCTGGTTTTATGAATGAAAATTTAGAAGTTGTGAAAGCGCGAGTTAGTGCACGTGGTCTTTTCGAATTTTTTTCGGATGGTAGCCGGCATTCTAATTTTTTTCGTGGCTATTTCGAATGCTCTTTCAACAAATAATCCTTTTGTGGTTAAATTTTACAATTGGGACCTTTCTTTTGCCTTTAAAAGCTCATATTTTAGAATTATAGATTCGTCCATCACGATACTATCAATAGTGCGGGCGCCGCCATCTTTCTTTCTTTCACCGTCATTCCTAAATGCCTACAAACAGCAGCGCATTCCCGTAGTAGCGGAGATGCAGAGCGACTGCTATTAATGAACGCACCCATGGATATCTACCACATTATATTTTATTTCACCGAGTAAGTTTTTATAATTTTATTTTTAATTTTAGCCCTTATATCGTGGCTAGCGATTCGGAATGTAATTGCGATATTGAAAATTTATTTTAAAAAAGTTTTGGCTCGAGATCATATAATGAAAAAGAAAACATTATTAAAAGAGAACGGCCAATGCCTAAGTTAAATATAAACGCTTCAATAAAAAAATTTGTTCGATATTTTCACGATAAAATGGCTCTGTAAATGCATAAAAATGCATTTACAGAGTGAAATTAGTGTGTGGAATAAGAATGTCTTTGACAATTTAGCTGGCAAAAGACACGAAAAATCGTCGATTCTTTCGTATTTGAAGCAATTTGGAAATCGAAGCGGAATAGAATTTAACATTAGTAAATAATATAAAATAAATATTGAAAATTGTAACGAGATAATTATGGGTAATAGATATATTATATCTAAATAAATAGATGTTATATGTTTTTATCAAAGCACGAATTGGCATTTAGAGGGCAAAGGAAACCTATTGAAACTAATAACAGAGGTAATTATATTGAACTTGTTTATTTATTAAAGTACGTCAGATAAATAATCTATTAAAAATACATTTAAAGAAAGAATTGATTGATTGACCCTGGAAGTCGGCTTCTTATAGAAACAGCTTCCCTATCATCAAATGTCACAGCACGCCCTGCAGATGACTGAGACAAACGTTTTAATTTTGATTAAGCTTGTTCACTTCAGTCAAGTAGCTGTTCTCCAATAAAGTTTATACTTATTTACTTTTGGTGCTTTTTTAGCTATATTTTTTGTCCACATTTTAAAATTTGGCTACTTTTTGGCATTTCCTAAAAAAGTTGGTTACTTCATAAAAAAAATTATCTAGAAACTGTGAAGACATTGGACATGTTCTCTGGCAGAAAAACTGTGGCAGCAACAATATCAATATTACAGTAACTAGAAAGGAAAAAAAATAACAGGAACAAGATTGCATTCATGGGACAAAACTAGGGATGCTTCCTTGCTATGGATAGAGGATCAAAAACACTGTCGTCGCCCTACCTTTTACCATGTTTTGCACAAGTGAAATATGTAGAGTTTCTTTATTAATAAATAGCAGTCTTAAATTTTTGTTTGTTTGTTAGTAAAAATAATGTTACTGTAGTTTATACTCTTACAAATTAAGTCCCAGGTTTTCTGGGGTTGGGAAAAATCTCCAGTTTACCCTATTGATTGCCCTAGTAGTATGATATTGTATACAAGAAAATTATTTTATTGTAATGAAGCTAGATTCTAAATTATTTTTAAGATTTATTATTAAATGTTTATCTTGCTTCTGATTACAACGAAATAACTAGACCAAGTTTTAGTGATTTTGAACAACACTAATGAACTCGCTTTTGAAACTTTCTCCTTTCAGCAATGTTTTAGAAGTCTAAATAGCCAGACCCTTATTATCTTTTTAAAGTAGTTTTAGTTTATGAAAGAAGCTAATGATCCATTAGCTTCTTTCATAAACTAAAACTACTTTAGTCTTTGAAAATCTGTGCGCTACCATGTTAACCAATTACAGTCCATTATTCTTACACCTTTTTTCTATTTGCAGTTAACTAATTAACGATTCCATTTATTTGATAAGGTATTAGGAATGTGTTTATTCTCAGAATGGCACGGTAAACTAATTACGATTCTATTAGCATTCTATTGGTATTTAGAATGTACTTAAGTAAGCTTTTCATTTATTGAAATTCTTATTTTTAAATGAAATTTTAAAGTTGTCTTTGCGAATACGACCAAGGTAAATCGGTCCTTTTGATTATATTTTAACTATGGACGCCCTCAAATTTTATGCTTAATTTCATAAGTGATATGATAAATTTTTCAAAATGTCTTGATAATTAATTTATTTTAACAGTATAAAAACAATCATTATTAAATAAAATAGTTTATATAAATAATAACATTTGTTACATGTTAAGCTGATTGTGATGACGATACTGTATGATTTAATTATATTCATAATATTTAAGTTCGGTAGTCTTCATTGCGTTTCCAAATTCTGTTAATTAAAAATAAGATAAAACAGATTGACACGATATAATTCTAAACACGAAGACTGCATTTTTAGGCATCCTAAAATGAAGTTTCTCATTTAGAATATAAACTTGTCTTCATATTTACCAACAAAGTTTAATAATTTATTTGTATTAATATATTAATGAAAATTAAATAATATATAAACAAATACAGTTTTGAAAAAAATTTTAGTTTCCGATGGTAAATTTAATTGAGAACGATCGNACAAAACGGCGATTTAGGAAGAGAGGAAAATAGTTTCTCATTTAGAATATAAACTTGTCTTCATATTTACCAACAAAGTTTAATAATTTATTTGTATTAATATATTAATGAAAATTAAATAATATATAAACAAATACAGTTTTGAAAAAAATTTTAGTTTCCGATGGTAAATTTAATTGAGAACGATCGATGTTCAAAGCGAATTTTAATCTTTAGTGGTTTCAACAAACAAATGTTTTAATCCTTTTCAATGTTATTGTTCACATTTTCAACAAAGTAAAAAGGCTCGTTCAGACACATCTGGTAATTTATTCGAGTGACAAGTAATTTAGTAACTCTATGCCCCGTGCTGACAGTGAAAGGATTTATTTAGTACAGTAAATTATTCAATTCTGTTTTTCCTGGTCCATTAGCTGTCCACCCACTGTTTTTAACCTACTAAATACCTCCGGGCAGAGTTGTTTTTAGTCGAGTTCATTAGTTTGCTTTTTCTTGTAGCATTATAGTGCTGGATTTGCCACAAGGCATATAAAACACATGTCTAGGGCCCCGAAATTAGAAAAAATAATAAAGAAGTTTTTACCGTTGCAATTGTATAGAATGTATAAATAAATTCATAGCTATAATTAGACGTTATTAGTTTAGGAGGTCGTAAAATTATATAAAGAGCATACTATCATCTTTGCCCAGGGGCACGGAAGACCTTAATCCGTATTGTCGTTAAATGCAAAAGGTTGGTGGATATAACCCCCGTGCCTTTTGTCGAAAATTTTTGAAATTTTACAGGGTGATTTATGTATTACGAGGATTGATGGTATTAAATTTTGGCGATTAAAGATCGAAGGAGTGGGGAGATTGTGGTGGGTCGTGTGTCATATCNGAAAAAATATTTACATCAACAGCATTTATAAGCATTCAACAGCGTAATTAATGTATCATAAGATGCTTATGATACATTAATTATTTATATTTTTATTAATGTTGTTTTTCAGTAATAACTATACTATAGCACAGTATAAAGTTTTTTTTCTAAAATAACATGATTTTTTCCCTTACAAATCCATAAAGTATATAAGTTATTCAATCTATTTTATCTGTAACATTCTGATTTATATATAGTAAAGCCTGTTTAAAATGAACATGGTGGTACCAGCCAGAATTTTTCCATTTTGGCATATTTCCATGTTAGAGTTATGTTTTTATTAATGCAGAAAAAAAGGTGAAAAAAACATTGTAATTTATGTTGAAGGAAAAGCAGTTCTAAATATAAAATTTCCTCCCTCTTAATGTAAGTGCTTTACATTTCAAAGACATGTTTGAAAATATTGAAATAATTTAATGTAATTTGTGTGGAGGAAAAATCCTGTGTAAAACCCTAGTGTAAAACCCTGCATGGAATATGTTTTAATAGCTCTATTCCTGAGGCTATCCCATTTGCTAGTCAACACTTAGTCTAACTTAAAAATAGTTAATTAACATACCAAAGCCAAATGATTACTGGATTAAATCAGGTTACATTACCACTACTAATAATTATTAAATATCACATAATTTGGCATTAGAGGTAGGTTTTAGGTGCCATCTCTTAATAAATTTAATAATTAAAATTAAATTGATTTAGAAGGTTCTGGAAGAAAAGAATTGGCCTGGAGCAGGACTCAAACCCAAAAGTGCCGCTTACCATGTGGATGCATTACCAGTTTTTTCCAGAAATTTCTAAAGTTATTTAATAAGAATTGGCCTGGAGCAGGACTCAAACCCAAAAGTGCCGCTTACCATGTGGATGCATTACCAGTTTTTTCCAGAAATTTAAAAAGTTATTTAATAAATATTATAACGGATGGCGCTACACGCAGTTTTAAATGTTGCCGGGAAGGTTAAACAACTCTGCTGGATTTTTTTTAATTCGTTCTCATTTTTTGCAAAAACAATAACGTTCATTTTTCTTTCAGCTAGAAGCAACACCGTCACATTAATTTATTGCTCGTTATTTAGTTCCTAGCCATAACAAAACACTATTAATTTAAGTGCATGCTAAAGTTAAATGTAAAAAATCCATAGTTTTCGAAATGATATCTCAACTCTGTCACTTTCTACATTGAGTATTTCGTTTCGAAGCACGTGTGTTCATCAGCGTAAAACCGTTCGCTTTTTAAATTAAATCACAAAAAATAACTATTAATTCGCTTACGACAAAAATTCCTAGAAAACTATCAAATGTCTGAAGCTATTGACGCTGAACCGAAGAAAGTGAATAAAACTACTGAACAATAGTAGTTGTCGCCTGTCTTGAGTTTGTGACTGACCAACAGGTTGGCGACGTGATGTTTTGCAAGTCTTCTACATGTTATAGGAGCCAACCTCTCGTAAAAGTTCTCCCCATTGGCAAATTTCCCATGTTTTGCATTTCCCTGTTCCATCAATCTAATCAGAAAAAAACGAACTCAAATAGAAACATAGAAACGTAAAAACCATTTACATTCGTGACTAAAGCCTGGACTCAACATGACTGGAATCCGTAAAACTGAGAGCAAAACTGACGAAACTTTCAGTTTTGGAACGTTCAGTTGGACAGAAACAAGACTGAAAATTATTTAACTTTTTCGTTTTCGTTTCGTGCTGCAACGAATAAAAACGCGAGGATTTGTGACGTGTAGTTTGATTGTCGTAATGGCGGAAAGTGTAGCGAAAAAGAAAAGAAAACAAATAAATTTGGAATTATTTATCAAAGAAGTTAGAAAATACAGATGTCTGTACGACAAAAAATGTAAATAATTATTAATAATTTCATTGTTAATAAATACAGAGAAAGCGTAGCAAAATCCGTAGCGTCTTCCATGTTTGACTCTATAATAATTACAGAACTGATCAACAGATGGCGCATTTCCACGTAATGTTTATTTCGGTAATAGTAGTCAAGTTGAAACGAAAACTGTATGTTTCAGTTCTGTTTCTGTTTTCAGGTAATGTGGAGTCCAGGCTTTACTTCGGTTGCAAAGTTTGTTTGTTTAGTTATGGCAACGCAACACTTGGGCGATCTGCCTAGGCGGGATGTCTTCCAGAGATCTTTTTAAGAGAAACTGGTCCCTATTTAGGCGTTACAGACGTGGAGAAAACCCGGAAAACTCCACGTGGCCAGCTAGTCCGAGCGAGGCGCGAACCCACGACCGAACTCCCAGTGTTCAGGGTAAGAAGACCGCTTGGCCACCGGTGGGCCTATGATTATATATATGCACACACACCCATACATACAAAACGGCGATTTAGGAAGAGAGGAAAATAGTTTGGGAAACGATAGTAGCGAGGTTGAGGCCGAAGTTTTCAACGCGAAAACGTGAACGTAGCACGTTCAGCGCCGCCTTCCCGTAAGCCTAGAAGTTTGACAATGGCGTTTAGAACGTCAGTGGAATCATGCTCGACGTTCCAAACGATCATTGTCAAACTTCTAGGCTTACAGGAAGGCGGTGATGAACTTCCGACGTTTGCGTTGAAAACTTCGGCCTCAACCTCGCTAGTATAGATAATTTGTAAGCAAAAACTTTATATGAATATGGATATTATTCTCAGTAGTTTCGGAGATACAGCTATATGAAAGTTGCTCACCTACAACAATGATAAATGAATGAATGATGAATAAAACTGTGAATGATACTTATGTTACATACATAACAAATGCTCAAAAATCGAATCCTGAACGTCAATACATTTTACAATCCAGTCAGTCGAACTCTACATTGCTTTGACTTAACATCCTTATCACTATCAGCATGTTCAACATGTTTCCAGGAGATTCTGCTATGAGACTTGCGTATGTTACGCAGTGGCCATCACCGCTAACTCAGAGAAAGTACACGTGACGTTTGGACACCGGGTTGTAAAGTGCATTGAGATTCGGGGTTCACGTTTGTTTTGAAAATAACACGAGCCATTCATTATTATTATTATATGTGAGCTATTTTCAAACAGATATAACTCCGAAATTACTGAGAATAATACCCATATTCATATAAAGTTTTTGCTTTACAATGATCTGTATCCTGACTTCTTTAAATCCAAGGGCTATGACACATTCCTGGACGCCTTTGTTGTGGGGCATTGGGGGGTTACGACCCAGCCAACGAGGCCACCCTCAGGCGACTCGCCATCAGCAGAAGATATGCCACTGTAATGAAAAAGCTGATGGTGAGCATGGGCGTAGCCAGAGTTTTGTTATAGGGGGCCTAGTGGAGGCCGNCATGTGGATGCATTACCAGTTTTTTCCAGAAATTTCTAAAGTTATTTAATAAATATTAATTGTATTAAATTTAATAATTATAATTAAAGTTGACACCTAATGCCTATCTAGTGCAAATTACTCTGCATTTAATAATTATTAGTAGTGGGATGTAGCCCAATTTAATCTGGTAATTGTTTGGCTTTAATATGAACATCAGGCTTTAAGATGTTTATATATGTATTTAATAACATATAGAACTTCTCAGTTTTTCTTTCATGATTACTCTTATATTGTCTTATAAACATAAATGCTCTTGTAAATTTAATTTTCGTTATTCCTCCTGTTACTCGTAATGTATTGAATTTTGGCTCATTCCAAGAATTGTCAGGGATATTTGTTGCTGCCTTTTTTTTCTTTTGATAATATAGGAGAGAATGCCTTTCATACTGAAAAATTTCACTGTAATCATTTGATAACTTGTGAAGAAATGGGAATACATCAAATTTATTTTTCATAAATCCTTTTTTAGATTTATAGCATATGATGTTCCTTAGGATAATGTAAACCTGTGGTACTAATCGAGAGCATACGATAGTATTTGAACTAAAAAAGGTAATTATTATACAACTCACATATAAAAAAAAAACATTAAAAATCATTTAAAATACTCTTACATAAGCCTAACATCCCAAAATAGTGTTTGTTGTTGTTAATAATTTATTTCCTGGAAACAAATAACTCTTCAGAAGAGTTAGAAACAATCACAATTAGTATTTTTATTGCAATATTATAATTAGTGCATCATCACAGTTAGTTTCCAGACAATGAAATTATAATCTTAATAAAGAAAAAATTATTAGACTAACTCGGAATTACAATCTATCATTTTTTTTTTCATTTGTTTGTCCAGTTTACCTTGTAGGTTGGCCATAATCTGATCATCCAAATTAGAACATTAGTTTTAAATATAGAATTAAGCTACTGCTGTTCTAACAAAATTCACTTTACTTACTATTATACAATTGGTACCCAAAAGTCTTCCTTTCCTGCAGTAGATAGATCTCTGAATTATATGAGTTAATAGTATTTTATGTAATAAATTTTGTTTTGAGATTTTCTCTTTAAGCAAGTTTCTGCATTCATTTTAAACAGCTTTACCATGTTTTAGTTTATAAAATTAAAGAAAAAAAAGTAAGTCGAATATCTTTGGTTCCGTAATTGAATTTGAATGATGAAATGATAAAGAAAATAATGAATATATAGTATTAAATATAAACATATGTACTTTCCCCCTTATTTTGTTTACTTATTTACTGATTATGCATGTTTTTCAAAATTTCTTACATTCATTAAGAAGTATAATTTATTCAAAACTTAATGCAAAATTATAAGTGTGCAAATAGGATGATGTCTTGGCAACAAAATTAAGACTAAATGGTATTGAGAACCACTTGTTTACAAGTGCAGCAAATTGTAGAATAAACTCCCAACATGAGGTTTGATCACTATCTGTTTGGAACTCTGGCTAACTTTTTCTTTATTTTGTTAATCCATCCTCACTTGATTTTTACATGCATCCATTAGCATAAACTAGCCCTATATGAGTTCAAAATTGTTTAGTTGGTTGGAGTATGTTTAGAGGGTTGTTTTTTTAGGCTCAACTTAATCAGTTTTGTATTTCTCACTCATTCACTTTTTCTTGTATTGTTTGATAACCTTATAAGGTGATTTCTTTGAAGGAATCACATACTGTTGTTATTTAGTTGGGGATCCAAGATTATATTTTACTGGGATTCCATTATAATGTAGTTGGAGTGAGACTTCTTTCAAAATAGCTATCATATAGATTCATCAAATAATTCAATCAGTTTTGAGTTTGACATATGTAGTGAATGATGGCCAGATCAGACCAAAAAAGTATCTTTTGTTGTTTGAGTAGTGCTTTTGGATATGACACCAATCTCTTAATGCATTGTTTTATGAATATATTGATTTATGCTCCTTTTCACTCAAAAATGGTTCCAACAGCCCTTTTTATTATACTGTATGCCATACCAACTTTTGTTTATACTTTGTATTATGGTGCAATCTGTTCTGTCATCAGGTATTTTTTTTTTTTATTCCTTCTTTACAAAATAAGTTGTAGTGTAAGCAGGATAGGATAGTAACTTTCATCGTCCATGATTATGTCATGTTTGAAAGGATCAACTCAATTCTGGTGTCTTTTGAAGAGAGTGGTCAATTGTTGCTGTTATCTTTATCTTCATTCTTGACCTAGATGTGTTTCTGTTGCAGACTTTTGCCTTCTCGCTATATGTCTTATGCCAAGCACTATCCCTTTCTATAGTTTTGTCTGATATCCCACATCTTTTGGTCAACAAGTTGAAACTGAGATCAATTTTGGTTTGAGGCATGCTTCTGGCTGCACTTGTCTTAGTTGTCTATTATATCTTTGATCAACTTGAACCTGGCTCTCTACTGCTGTTACATTTTTCTAGTTAATCCAGAATCTTATAAATCTATCTCCACTTGAAACAAGCAGTCACAAAATGTCTAACAATGTTTGTTTTTTTTTTTATGTCTGGATGAAGCTGAGAAAAAAATCTCAACTTTTTGCCAGCTATTTTCCTGTTTATCTCCAGTCATTGTAGTAATAATTATGCAGAAATAACTACACACTTAATATCAGATGAAAGAGAACTTCCATATTCTAATTTATAAATTTATTCTACTCTTGTACATACGTCATTAATCCAAAAATGTATTAAAATTTTTGTATGTTTTTTTCCCCAAATGCCTTAACATTATTTACTGTTATGTTATATTTGCTACATCTAGTTATTTAATACTTTTTAAATTATTTTAATTTTTATTTAAAGAATGAATTTTCTATATTAGTTAGTATATCTTATTTCATTCATTTTTATGAAATTTATATTTTAGGGATCTAGTGACAGTGGAAAAGGCAGTAGTGATATTCAGACTAATGACCATACACATTTGCATCTTCCTTTTACTGAAGATGGGCTGTCTGTGTATGAGTTTGAAATACCTCAAGAATATTGTGGGCGTTTAATTGGGAGGCAAGGAAAGAGTGTCAATTATATAAAAAATCATTCTAAAGCAAATGTTTTTATAAAGAAGCATCCGGTAAATCCAAATATGAAATTATGCACAATTGAAGGTAGGTTTTTATTTATAGATAAACTTTTTAAAATCTCAGCTTAACAAATAAATCATGACTACTTTAATGAAATAAAACAACAATTACAAAATTTATGCAATCTTGATTTATCTGTTAGGTGTTTATTTCGTTTTTAAAGCTGTCATGGTTTATTTACACCACAAAATAATAAAGTGTAAAGATGAAATTGTTTGATAACATTTTTAGAGGAATATTTATTTAGGTTTTACAGTTAAATTTGAATTATAAAACAACTTACTTAGATTGTTTATAATACATTACATTAGATTAGTATTAAATGTAAAATTGGGACAAAAGTCAACACTGTGATCTGGAAAATGTGCTGTGCAGCTTACTAATTGTCACTTTGAAAACTTTCTTAAAAGAAATTTCCAAAGTGATCTCAAAGGATTCCTGAAGGAAAACTGATAGAGATTGTCAGGGTTCAAAAAAAGGAATTTAGATGTGTAAATCTGCTAAAACATAATGAAATGCAAATTAAGAAACTGCATGTGAAGAAGTCTTATTAGCATTCATAAAACATGACAAAATACTGAGGAAAATTCAAATTGAAATTAAGTGCTTACATTAATGTCAGATGAGATTAAAGAATAGAGAGAGAAAATATCAAATTCTTATTAAATTATTTTCTTGTCTACTCTGCTAAGGAGACAAGTAAGGCAAACAAAACTTTATCATACTTTATACCAAATACTCTTTGACCATCATAGACAGCTTTAGAAAACTTAATTAATAGAGTAAATTCTGTATTATTTACTGTATTTTATGTTATATTTAAGATAAAATCTATGTAATTATTTAATAACAATGATTTTTCATTTTCTATAATTATTGTATATAGTATAATACACATTATAAAGGCCAACAGCCAAATTGTATCTTAAATATTAATAAATTCTTGCTTTTTTTTTTTTTTTTTTTTTTGAAAAACTTGGTATTTAAAATTGTTGTTTATTTCAAGTTTTAATCTTTTAGTATCAAATGGGCACCTTTTTTGATTCATAAAAATTTTTCATGTTTTTAGTACTTGATTGCCTGCTGTTCTCTCAATTAGTTGTATATCCTTTGGAGGACATACATTCTTTCATATGTTTTCATTGTATGTCCTTCGAAGGATATACAACTAATTGAGAGAACAGCAGGCAATCAAGTCTGGTGCAGGAAGATTCCTTTGAAGTTCATATGCAAAAATAACCAGGGATTATATCAAATCAAATTGAACAATTTTTCTGATATCTTTTATTAGTTATTTTACAAATTAGTTTTATGTCTAACCAGTTGATTTTAAAAAAATGTGCCCAAGGAAACTTTTTGACTTTATTAAGTATAAAATAATTAGTGTAACTGATTAGTGAACTGAAAGCTATGTAATTAATGTGTGAAATAACACTCATCAAAGATGCTCTAAAAGTTGACGACAAACAACAAATCAAAAGATAGTGCATCTAATATTTTGGATGCTACAGTAAGTTGCATTTTGCATGATATTTAATTTTATTGTTGAAAATGATAACTAATCCAGAAAGTGATAAAGAAATGCATTGCAAATAAAGGATATACAACTTAATTGGTAATTTATTGCTAAATTTTAATTATTTATTTATTTATTCTTTTCTTTGAGACTTTTATTTTTAGATATAGTAAAGAATTGTTTTAACTTATATTTTCAGGAAATGCAATAGAAATTGCTACAGCTTTAGAATATATTAGACGACGATTCCCTCCAGTAGATTATTCAGATTTAACATTAACACAATTTAATACATCTAATGGTCCTGTTGGTGCACCACCTATTCCTGAAACTGTACAGGTATTCAAATAATATAAAAAGTATCCTCAATCAATTGTATATGTTTTTAAATTGATAATCAGGGGGAAGATTTTAACATCAATTAAAATAATATACATTTTATATTTATGTTGTTTTTAGGATTCATAAATTAATATTAAAAATATTTCAAAAAAGTATATTTGGTATCTTAGAATAGTTTAAATTGTTATCAAACAGTTAGATGGTTTTTAAAGTAAATTTTAAAATCTTAAGTAATCATTTTTCTTTATTTAATATGATATTAACAGAATTTTGTTCTTTACCTTATTTAAACTTTAATAGATGCATTAAAAATAAACTGTTTATTTTAAACTTATTATTGGCAATAGTAAACTAAAGAATCAAGATGTTTTGAATATTACTTGAAGAACATAAATGTTTATTTTAAATCCATACTTTGTGGATATAATGCAAAAGCAATGTTTTTTGAGTTCAAAAATTGTGTATTTGGAGGTTTTTTCATTGACTGAACCTAATGCTAAAATATAAAATTCTAAAATGATACTAATATATACAAAAATTTACTTTTTATGCAATGATATTTAATACTTTGCTAATTATTTAAATATTTTAAAGAGCATTCTGTACTGTATTTGAAACATACAGTATTATAATAATACTTTTCACTTAATTATTTTACACGTAATTGTATAAATAAATATAAAATTGCAATGTTTAACAAAAATAAAATACTTTGCTTCTGTTATTCATCTGTCGTTTGCTCCAGTTGATAGTCCACAATTTCACAAATTCCCATAAGCTATTTTGAAACATTTGAGGGCATTGAAATTGTTTGTTGATTGTTAGGTGCCATCTCTTATCTAAGTTAATAATTTATTAAATAATTTAGAATTAATTATTAAAAATAGCAGATTTATAACCAGAGTATTTAAGGCAATTGTTTGGCTCTATATATATATATATATATAGGGCTTTAGGTTGTCTAATATACTTACATTAATGGAGCATAAGTAATTGTTATTTTTTCATTTAATAATTAATTTTATTGTAAATTTTGTTTAAAAAAATCAAGCCATTTATCAAATTTAAACTGAGAAAAACAAAAAGATAAACTGAAAAAACTTAATTTAAAAACAAGATAGATAGACATAATAGAAGAAAATAGCTTGATAAAATACTGAAAAAGAACATAAATTATTGCGTGAAAAAAATGTCAAATATTTTAGTTTCCAGAAATGAGGAGGAGAGATGAATAAAATCTTTCTGGAATGTTATTCTATCATATCATACTAAAAAAAAAATTAGCGCTTAAATATATTTTCTTTTTAGGAGTCTTTAAGAAAAATTGACATGGTCTTAGCCAAATATGTTTTTAAAAAGGAAGTTATTGCAAATTGAATCAAAGCAAAAATAATTCAGAGTTGAATCTAAGTATCTAATAGAATTTATTGCAATTGATGATTATGGCAAAGAAATTTTAAACAAAAATGAGGAAAATAAAAATAGAACTTTCGGTATTCAGTTAAAACTAAATTAAAAGGAATTAACAATTTGAGCTTAAAATAAATAGTTAGGAATAATGCTGTCAGAGACAGAGCATTGATTTTAACTTTGGCAATCCACCTAGCAGCAACTTTAAAATGGATTAGAATGAGATAAATTTTTTAGATAGAGAATTTTCAAACAAACAATCTATAACTTAATACATATAAGCAATAACCTAATCCAGTTTATTAATATTAAACCAAATATCTAATTGCCAGATTTATTGTGTTATGTTTGGGCTATTAGGTTAATTATTACATTACTAACTCAAATGTAGCTTAATAATATACATTTACAATAAGTTACTTGGTTTTATAATAATACAGTAGAACCTCGAAAACTCGGCTCTCGATAACCCGGCACTTCGGATAACTCGGCCACACACTGACAGGGCAAAAAAATCCTTAGTTAATTAATTTTCATTATAGACAGCTTTATAAAAGTATAAAAGATCTCATAAAGTATTTTTCTGAGATCTATCTTTTCAGGTAAATTACTGTACACGGTGTATTCATTAATTTTCATTTTCATGTAGTAAAGGCTCTATGCCTTCATAAAGGACGTACTTTTTTTTTGTTTAGGGGTATTTGGGCAGTTTATTCTCTGTTATATTCTCAAGTAAACAATACATACAAGTACAGTACAGTATTTTCTGAGGAAACACTCGTACTTATTTTTTTAACTCCATTCCCGATAACCCAGCATTTTCACAAACTCGGCCACCCTTCGGTCCACATTAGGCCGAGTTTACAAGGTTCTACTGTAATAAGTTTATATACTGTAGATGATTTTTATGTGTATATATTCCATGTCAGAGTAAAGTTGGCTGAGGATCATGAGCAGAGATATTCTGTTTGAAAGATAATTAACTTGTACGGTTATATGACTAATTAATATATATCTGAAAACAGATTGGATTAAGATCTGGGTATTTAACCAGTAATACATCTACATAGTATGCAGAAAGATATTGATTCAATTCCCACTTTGGTTTGATCTTTTCTTTCAGATTATTCTAAATTATCTAGTTTATTTAAATTTAATTATTAATTATTAATGTAGATCTGAAACCAATTAGGAAATTATAGAAAAACAGTACTAAAGTTATGTAGAGCTAAGATAGAATTTAATTAACATACAAGAATACAAGGTGGTGACTTAACTCTCTTTAGTCAAGTAACATTTTTGTTTCCAATCACACTGTTTATTTTATATGAAATTGCCTTGACTTGAAGATAAAAAAAATTTTAATCTTCCAAAATTTTTATTTCTATCCAAAAATCATAATTGAATTAGAGATTCTGGAGGAGGAAAGCTTTAAAAATACAATAAAATGTTACAAGAGACTTCTTGAATAAAAGCTTGTATCTTGTTAATTCAAATTTAATAACCCCACAAATTAATTGTATTCCTCTTATCAACGTATTAATTGCTTTTCTTCTGATGAATAAATAAATGGATTCAAAAATAGTAAGAAAATAGTAATAATTTATTTCCTTAAGATTATTGATTTGGGTCAAGGAATAGTTACAATTTGTAAAAACAATAGTATTTTTTCAATAAGTTGATCTAATATTTCTTTTCTTTGGCCTACAGATAGATAAAGGCAATCCAATAAGTATACATTAACAATTTAAATATTGACCTAATAATTTACATGTATTATGTATTCTGTAAAATTATTTCAAAGAAACTCAATAATGTTAGATGTAAATAAGCACTAACACTTCTGTACAGAACCTTTACAAAGTAACTGATATTTTCAAATATTTATATTAATCTCCATAAATGAGATATATAAATATGACAGTTCCAGTACTCTCAGTTTTTTGATGAATGTGGAGTTGAGTAAAAATAACAATGTTAGTGCTGTGGTACCATTATTGTGGTGACTGTTCAGCAGAAAATTTAGCATGTGATTTGGACCAGCAAAACAATCTGTTATTACTATTCAAAAATTTTCATCCTGAGTATTGTGGTAAAGCACCTTCAGATAAATCTACTTGTCAGTGGTTGAAATATTTTAGTTTGTGTTTAAAAGGAAACTGCTTGAGAGGCCATGCATATCAGAAGATAATGTTGAATGAATTAGTTGCTTGGTGCATAAAAATGCATAAAGTGAATAAAAATCATTAGTACAATCCAGTTTGGAATTAGATTCCTATGATTAGTACACAAAGTAATGCCAGAATTCCTATCTTAAAATGGGCTCCAGAAAAAAATTTTAATGAAACAAAAACATTTTTGACCTAAATTGATAGGTCTTCATCAGTTGAGCATTCTAAAATAGAATATTTGAATGGAAAGAACATTCAAATATAAAATAAATATATTAAATACAACAGAAATTAAAAGTACACAAAAGACTTTGGTTACATGCATAAAAGATTCAAATTCTGCATGAAATCAATGACAATAATAAACCAGAGATTTGAGTTTTCAACTTGGATGTTACAAAAGCTTGAGGAAAATGAAAATTTACTAGAAACTGTCCTTTTTACTGGCAAGGCAGCCTTCCACACTTGTGGTTTAGTTAATCATCATAAGTGTAGAATTTGGGAGTCACAATCATAAACTGTCAACATCAGTGTGACTCCAAAAGTTAATGTTTTGGTGTGAACTGATGCAAGGCCATGTTGTTGGACATTGCCATTTGTTATTTTCATCAAAAAAAGAATGTTTACTGTAATACACTAGAACTTTTAATGTTTCTGCAGTTGGACAAAATTGAGACAGAAATTGGAGAAAGCTTTTATCAACAAGTTAGGTGTCCTGTCCCATTTTCAATAATCATGTATATGTAGCTTTAGACAATGGATTTCCTAACAGATGGATTTGAAGAAGTGATCAGATTGTGGCTATTTTGAAGTCCAGATATAATACCCCTTCTCTAGTAAAGCTTATGAAAATAGGAGTGATGTGACTAGTAATTAGATTGTCTGTTAATTATTCATTTTTAGAACATTCAAGAAAATTGACTGAATAATATAGTTTTATACAGGAAAAAAACATAAATTTGTGATTTTTCTTACTTCTGAATGAAATATAGATATTATTATATATAATAATTTAATTTTTTTCTACTTAAAATCTGAAATCTGTTCTTACTATTCAATGAAATTTTTATCGTGAGTATCTATTAGGATTATTTCTGTAATACGTTTTTAAAAATTTAGAGTTTTAGTAGGTTTAGAGTTTAAAAATTTGAAATTATCACCTTAAATTCTTAATTTAAGGTGATAATTTCAAATTTTATAACTCTATTAAGAATGTAAAATAAAATATTTATTATGGAAAGCCCTTTTTTTATTCTTAAGATGAATATAAATGGCTTAAGTTATTTAATTGTTGATACTTATTAAAATAGTAAATTTTGAAAGTAATTTAAGAAAAAATAATGCACTTTCATCTGTTTAAGTACTGTATGTTTTTATTTTTTAATGTTTTTAAAAATTTTTGAAGATGTTGAAATGATGAAATAGTTACTACTAAAGCAGAATTAAAGCAGACCAATACTCAGAGAGATATAAAGTTAAAGCATAATGAAAATTAATAAAAAGAAAAGGTATACAATTTAAGGAACTAGAAAATGCATTACATATGTTCAAAAATTTCTTATATTTATATGGAGTAAATATAAAATGCTTTTCATAATATGCAATGTCTTTTCCTTCCAACAAAACAATATTTTAAAGTAATTGTTTTACTATCATTAGTTTAATAATTTTTCTTGAGTACTGCAATATTGTATTCAAAATATTTTTGTCTACTGTTTGATTTTTTTAAGAAAAGCATATCAAGATATATAGATGAAATAGTACTTAATTTGTAATAATTTTTTTTATTGTATAAAATAACTATTGATAATAATTTAGTTTATTATTTTTCATTAGTTTTTTTTATTTTTTTCTTAGAATGCAAACATATTGTAAAAGAATTATTTTAAGTTTAAATATTTTTGTATGTACTGTAATGAAATTGAATGAAATTATAATAGTTTTCTTGATAGGAATTTTTTTTTAAAGTATAGATGTAGAACAGTACACTCAGTGAACTTTATATTGAATTTTCAAAATTTTTAAAGATGTACTTTTTAACAAATTTTTGTTATCTTATCTAAATTTTCTCTTAAAAATTTTAAAAACTAAACATGATATTGATAGATTAAAAAAATTCAGTTTTACTGAAAAAATTCATAAATTTTTTTATTTTCTATTTTATTTAAACATATCATCAAGTTGTCGTTAAATTCAATCAAATCATTAAATGGAATTTTTTTTGTTGTTGTCTTTTTTTTAATCTTTACATTTATTATACTTTTGGTTATTCTGAAATTCATTATTTTCTGTTTAGCTTCATTGTTGTTTGGATTTAGATGATTGCTTTCTTAAATTTTTTTTCGTTTTTTTTTTAAATTCACTGATTAATAGTTGATTTTTATTTTCTTCAGTGTCATTCAAACTTAAATGATTTTGGTAGTTTAAATTGTAAAATTTTGTAAATTGGTTCTATTATTAATAAATGATTTAATAGTCAAAATTAAAAAATGTTATTCTCTTTTATATCATATAATGGATATATGCTCTAGTCCTCAAAATGCAGTACATAACTGGCTTTCCTACTCCTATTACCAGCTATCCTGGCTGAATCAATCCTGCCTTCTCTTCCAGAAGAAGCTTCTTCCATTTCATAGTCAATTCCAAAATGCCTCCGTATATCATCATCATATTACTGAAATTCAGGTCCGTACAATAATAGTACTTAAAATTATCATCTGTGTAGTCTTTTGCAAATAGTGAATGATTGCTGTTCAGTTTTTAGAGCAGTGTGTACAGTTTGTAATGTTTTTAAAAATTGCAATATATAGTTCAAAGTGGTGTTTAGATGCAATTTAGAATAGATGCAAATAATATAGTTAGTAGTTGATTTGTATGACTATTAATGAATATGTATTAAAAATATTTTTAAGATTGTAAGTTTTATCTTAAATTATTGCATAAAATTAAATGTTGTTACCTAAATAATTAGTCAAAATTTCCTCAGTTATATAAATAATGTGTGTTTTTATAATTTTTGCTTTCATTAAATTTTTTATGTGAATTTACCATGTATTGAGATTTCACATATAAACTATTAAGTTAGCAATTCTAAATCAAAATATATAAGGAGAATCTTTTGAACACATTGAACATTTGATTTTTTTGCACTGCAAACATAATGTATTTTTAAATATCTGAATCAATATTAATTTTTAATGTTTTCAAACATGGAGAAAGAAATTGCAAGTTGCATATAAATTTTTTTATAATTAAGAATATATCATTTTAATGAACTTGATTTGATATAAAAGAAAACAAAAATTATCATAAATTTTGTTTTTATTTATCTGGTTGAATACAATAATCTATTAATTGATTGTTTTCAATAGTTGGTTTAAATATACTTTGATTTTTATGAATTAATTTTTTTCAGGAAGTTATTTTAAAATTTTGTTTTTCTTAATCAATTAAAATATTCACTTGCATACTCTTTTCTGAAATCATTTCTGTAATAAGTCATTTACTAACAATTTTGCTAAATTCTTTTCGACTTACAATCTTAATACTGTGTGTATTTTAATCTTGTTATGTGTTTTTATACATGCTATGTGATACATGTATTTTAGGATATTAATTAAAATTACTTCAGACAAGTTGAAATTTAGCATTGTTTTAGTTGTTTATTTTTTTTAAATAACAAGAACCGAACCAATTAAGTTTTTATGGTCCTCTAAGAGTTTGATTTCAATATCATATTTTTGTTTGCTTGTAATAAATGTAGTGTAAAACTTTATTTTTCAGTTACGTTTACCAGAAGGTATTTCATGTGATGTAATAATGTCAAGCATGGTTACAGCTGGTCATTTCTTTGTTCAGCAACCAACACATGTAACTTATCCAAACTTAAGTAGATTAGATAGTTTTATGGTGACTTGTTACACTCAGTTAGATACACCACAGCTTCCTCGACCAGTAGAAGGTAACAGTAGAAAACTATAATTAGATGAATGGAGGAAACTATTTTTTTATTTAAAAATAAATTTAAATTAAATTTTTTAATATTTTAGCTGGTGTTATATGTGCTGCACCTGTAATGTCTGGGTGGTATAGAGCACAGGTTGTATACGTCTGTGAAGGCATGGAAGAATGCGATGTTAAATTTGTTGATTATGGTGGTTATTCTAGAGTGCCTATATCCACTCTTCGTCAGATTAGGTAAGAATATTCATAATTTTTTTTTGTAATATTATTATATATTTAATGAAATAAAATAAATTTTTAATTTATCCATAAAACTGTTCAGTGTTTCTTGCTGATAGAATTTTCAATGTTTTGAGAAATTTACATGCAGTATTTTTTAATCACATACTCCAAACTGATTATGGTGTACACATAAACAAAGCAAACGTTTTCGAACTCCATCAGAGTTCTTCATCAGGTCTTGTAATGATTCCCCAATGGATCTTCATAACAGCTTTTGGAATAAAATTTGAACAAGCATTCGAATATAAGTTCGAAAAATTAAAATCACGTCACACCTGTGCAAACAGTCGCCTTATCAGGGCTCATCGAATGGCTAAACCGTGTTGTCAATCAACTCTTGCCAGGCCATTGACAACACGTCGTTGAGTCCCGATAGGGCAACTGTTTGCACAGGTGTAATGTGGTTTTAATTTTTCGAACTTATATTTGAATGCTTATTCAAATTTTATTCCAAAAGCTGTTATAAAGATCCATTTGAGAATCATTACAAAACCTGGTGAAGAACTCTGATGGAGTTCGAAAACGTTTGTTTGGTTTATGTGCACACCATAATTGGTTTTGCCGGATGGCTGAGTGGTTAAGGTGGCAGCCTATTGCTCTGGGGGACCTGGGATTGAATCAGGGCAGGTTGAAAAATCCCCAGGAATTTTTTGGGGGTGGTCCGTCTGGATATGTTAGGTTTTGTCCCTCACCACCCAGCTGCCCCATTGTGTGTCTGGCCGAACCCATAATGGGCTTGCTAAAAGAGGCCCTCTTAGTGCCCACAGGGTGGAAAGAGTTATTTAAAAAAAAAACTGTAATTGGTTTGAAATACATGATTAACTATATCTCAGTATGGTGAGTGTTTGTTTAATCTGTGGTATTTTTTACTATTATAACAGAAAAAATTTTAAAATACTTTATCTAAAGAATATGATTAAAAAATCTATCAATATTTACCAATATTTTGTACAATTGTCTTTCATTAAATATGAATTTGAAAAGAATAAATGGTTTGTAATCAAGTAATTATTAANAAAATTCAGTTTTACTGAAAAAATTCATAAATTTTTTTATTTTCTATTTTATTTAAACATATCATCAAGTTGTCGTTAAATTCAATCAAATCATTAAATGGAATTTTTTTTGTTGTTGTCTTTTTTTTAATCTTTACATTTATTATACTTTTGGTTATTCTGAAATTCATTATTTTCTGTTTAGCTTCATTGTTGTTTGGATTTAGATGATTGCTTTCTTAAATTTTTTTTCGTTTTTTTTTTAAATTCACTGATTAATAGTTGATTTTTATTTTCTTCAGTGTCATTCAAACTTAAATGATTTTGGTAGTTTAAATTGTAAAATTTTGTAAATTGGTTCTATTATTAATAAATGATTTAATAGTCAAAATTAAAAAATGTTATTCTCTTTTATATCATATAATGGATATATGCTCTAGTCCTCAAAATGCAGTACATAACTGGCTTTCCTACTCCTATTACCAGCTATCCTGGCTGAATCAATCCTGCCTTCTCTTCCAGAAGAAGCTTCTTCCATTTCATAGTCAATTCCAAAATGCCTCCGTATATCATCATCATATTACTGAAATTCAGGTCCGTACAATAATAGTACTTAAAATTATCATCTGTGTAGTCTTTTGCAAATAGTGAATGATTGCTGTTCAGTTTTTAGAGCAGTGTGTACAGTTTGTAATGTTTTTAAAAATTGCAATATATAGTTCAAAGTGGTGTTTAGATGCAATTTAGAATAGATGCAAATAATATAGTTAGTAGTTGATTTGTATGACTATTAATGAATATGTATTAAAAATATTTTTAAGATTGTAAGTTTTATCTTAAATTATTGCATAAAATTAAATGTTGTTACCTAAATAATTAGTCAAAATTTCCTCAGTTATATAAATAATGTGTGTTTTTATAATTTTTGCTTTCATTAAATTTTTTATGTGAATTTACCATGTATTGAGATTTCACATATAAACTATTAAGTTAGCAATTCTAAATCAAAATATATAAGGAGAATCTTTTGAACACATTGAACATTTGATTTTTTTGCACTGCAAACATAATGTATTTTTAAATATCTGAATCAATATTAATTTTTAATGTTTTCAAACATGGAGAAAGAAATTGCAAGTTGCATATAAATTTTTTTATTTTTTAATGTTTTTAAAAATTTTTGAAGATGTTGAAATGATGAAATAGTTACTACTAAAGCAGAATTAAAGCAGACCAATACTCAGAGAGATATAAAGTTAAAGCATAATGAAAATTAATAAAAAGAAAAGGTATACAATTTAAGGAACTAGAAAATGCATTACATATGTTCAAAAATTTCTTATATTTATATGGAGTAAATATAAAATGCTTTTCATAATATGCAATGTCTTTTCCTTCCAACAAAACAATATTTTAAAGTAATTGTTTTACTATCATTAGTTTAATAATTTTTCTTGAGTACTGCAATATTGTATTCAAAATATTTTTGTCTACTGTTTGATTTTTTTAAGAAAAGCATATCAAGATATATAGATGAAATAGTACTTAATTTGTAATAATTTTTTTTATTGTATAAAATAACTATTGATAATAATTTAGTTTATTATTTTTCATTAGTTTTTTTTATTTTTTTCTTAGAATGCAAACATATTGTAAAAGAATTATTTTAAGTTTAAATATTTTTGTATGTACTGTAATGAAATTGAATGAAATTATAATAGTTTTCTTGATAGGAATTTTTTTTTAAAGTATAGATGTAGAACAGTACACTCAGTGAACTTTATATTGAATTTTCAAAATTTTTAAAGATGTACTTTTTAACAAATTTTTGTTATCTTATCTAAATTTTNACTTAGCCCTATTGGATATTAGAGGTGTATATGAGTATGAATGAATTGTACAAGCAAGCAAAAAAAAATAAAAAAAGTAAAAAAAAATAAAAAAAAAAAAAGGTCGACAGGTTGCACATGATATCCCTGGACAGCGAGACGGATGGTAACACTATTCCATGCTCATTTCAATTGGTCCGAATCATAGGTGGACGAAAATATGAAATAAAATGGTTCAAATTCTTACAAGATATTATTATTATTGTCAAATTTTTCCGCCCCCTAAAAAGTGCCGCCCCCCTACACTACACTACTGATATGATAGTAGAATACTATAGTATGCCTTTGCATGTGTCCCATTATTTGCATCAGCAAAATCAGCTGACATATCAAATGTTGGATACAATGTGTGTATTCATTTATTGTGCTGAAATTTTCAAAATTTGCAGACCTATACATTCATTCTCATTGCCACACATCTGTGTTTCTATCTCTTTGGTTGATCTCAAGAATGGAATTAGATAGCTAGATGAAAATTGAAGCCAGATATGGAATGTTGGGAGCTGAAAACCTCAGTGAACTTTGGTATAGACTGGAAATCAAGTGATTTCATTTCAAAATTTTCTTGAATGGAGTTAGATGAATAATATGACTAGATTGTTATAGAAGAAGTAAGATCTATTGGGGCAAGACTATTAAAATCAAGACCAGATATGGAAAGCTTAGGAAGTGGAGATACCAACTATATACAAACTTTCAGTCTGGACTGGAAATCATATAATTTTTTAAATAAAAGATGATTAATATAATAATAAACATTTAATACAAGATATTATTTATTCTGACATTGTCACAATGCCAGGCTGTAATTTTTAATCTCTTAAATTTTCCAAACATAAGATTTAGTTGGAAATATTTGTGATAGTCTGCTGGAATTAAGGTGAGTGGTGTACAACTAATTTTAATTAAATACTATTTACATTAAATATATTATATTGCACGTTTATAAACTGATTTATCATGTAATTATAATAAAAATTACAATAATGAAGACTTATAGTTTATAGTAAACAATTCAGTTTAACAAAAATTTCAATGATAAATTTATTTTTATTAAAATTTTGTGTATAAAATTTTGTTTAAAAACTATAAAATAAAACAATTACTGCGATTGTTTTACTCTATTTAATATTAACTTTTTATTAGTATGAATTTATTAGTAGAATTCAAGATTTATGAAGATCTTATATTACTGTATTCAAAATATGTCAATATTTACATAAACATTATTTTAATGAATAATAATTCTTTGTGGTCTTCTTACTTATCTTATTAAACTTTACAATTGTTTATTTAATGTTGTAATCTTTTATATTTAGAAGTGATTTTATGACCCTCCCATTCCAAGCAGTAGAATGTTACTTAGCCAATGTCCAGCCATGTGAAGGTAAGTAAATTATCTGAATTAAAATTACTGTAGTTAGTCTTCTGGATACTTAATACAATATACAATAATTACTGTATTTACCAAAATAATCTGCACAGTTTTCAAAACATCTTACAAAAGTTGGAGTGCAAACTTCGAAACAAATTTTGTGCCTCAACCTGTGAAGTTCAGGATGCTTCTGGTTACTAAGCATTTTGATTTTTTTGCTAGTGATAAATTTTGTTTAATAAAATGATCATCTATAGTCGATAGTTAGAAGCATTATAATTAAATATTTTTGTGCAACAGTTTTCATGAAAATGAGAACAAATTATGGAAACAATTAATGGAATAAGAACACTGTATAGTAGTAGACTTATTTATTGTTAATGTTTTCACCCATCAATAGTTTTATATCTGATTTGTAGTTCTTATTTTCCACATTCTGTATATGTCAGCATATAAATCAGCTTCAAGATTTTCAACTCAAAGTTTTAGTTTAGACCTGCTCTCTCTGAATATATTAACGTCTAAACTTATGGTAGCCTATTACAAACACATTTAAGAAAGTTGTGTGTCTTATACATAGGACACCAACTAAACAACTGCTAAAAAAATCTTAACAGTTATTTTAGTAAGAACTTTATTATATATCATGTCTCATTAAATATATTAGAGCCAAGATTAACACTTCTAATAAAATATTGTTTATATATACAGCAACATAATATCCTAATAATACTGCTACATACAAACAGTTTATGATACAGTGGCATAGCATAGGTGTCAGCTGCCCGGGGCAGAGAAAAATTTTGCCGCCCTCTTATTTAGGTATCTCAATTTAAAAGACTAAAATTCAGTTTCGTCACAGAATAAGTAATGAAAAATTCCATGCTAGTGTTGCCACCTTTTTAAAATTGCAAACCCTGACGGCAGGTGAAGTTTGTTCGAACAGAAGTTCCTGACGCATGCGTATATCATTTTGCAATGAAGAATAATTTGCAGTGCATGCTGGTTCTAAATCAGTTACAGTTAGCGACTAGGGAGATTTGGGTAGGAGTAACATAAGTAATCTAGATGACTTAGCCCTATTGGATATTAGAGGTGTATATGAGTATGAATGAATTGTACAAGCAAGCAAAAAAAAATAAAAAAAGTAAAAAGAAATAAAAAAAAAAAAAGGTCGACAGGTTGCACATGATATCCCTGGACAGCGAGACGGATGGTAACACTATTCCATGCTCATTTCAATTGGTCCGAATCATAGGTGGACGAAAATATGAAATAAAATGGTTCAAATTCTTACAAGATATTATTATTATTGTCAAATTTTTCCGCCCCCTAAAAAGTGCCGCCCCCCTACACTACACTACTGATATGATAGTAGAATACTATAGTATGCCTTTGCATGTGTCCCATTATTTGCATCAGCAAAATCAGCTGACATATCAAATGTTGGATACAATGTGTGTATTCATTTATTGTGCTGAAATTTTCAAAATTTGCAGACCTATACATTCATTCTCATTGCCACACATCTGTGTTTCTATCTCTTTGGTTGATCTCAAGAATGGAATTAGATAGCTAGATGAAAATTGAAGCCAGATATGGAATGTTGGGAGCTGAAAACCTCAGTGAACTTTGGTATAGACTGGAAATCAAGTGATTTCATTTCAAAATTTTCTTGAATGGAGTTAGATGAATAATATGACTAGATTGTTATAGAAGAAGTAAGATCTATTGGGGCAAGACTATTAAAATCAAGACCAGATATGGAAAGCTTAGGAAGTGGAGATACCAACTATATACAAACTTTCAGTCTGGACTGGAAATCATATAATTTTTTAAATAAAAGATGATTAATATAATAATAAACATTTAATACAAGATATTATTTATTCTGACATTGTCACAATGCCAGGCTGTAATTTTTAATCTCTTAAATTTTCCAAACATAAGATTTAGTTCGAAATATTTGTGATAGTCTGCTGGAATTAAGGTGAGTGGTGTACAGGGATTGTTTAATCACTCTATGGTAAAGATTTGTGTCTTATACTTGATGTGTACTTTTAGATTTTTTTTAGGCTTTGAAAAGTCGATATTTATGATAACATATTAAATGGTTACAGGTGTATGTGACATAGATAAATCATTCAGATCTTAAATACTGACATAATGTTCACTTTGGAAAGAATAAAGAACATAAAAACAATTTTATATTGTTGTTCTACAATCATCTTTTCAGCTTTTAGATATGAAAAAGTAGACATTGTATTCATAAGCATAAAGTTTTCACAACTGTCAGATCTGTGAATACAAAAAGCAATTCATTTAGTTTAATTAATTTATTAATTTTTTTGTAATGACAATAAAATTATTTTTCAGAAGGAGGAGTTTGGTCCATAGAATCTTGTGCAACATTTGAAGAATTAGCACAAGGACAAATTTTGCAAGCTCATGTAGTATGTTATGCAGATGATAATATTCCTTATGTTCGACTTTTTAAAGTCCAAGGAATGTCGGTGAGTAAAATTTTTGTAAAATTTAAATAAAAATTCAAGTTTTAATTAAAATTGTGAATATGATTTTTATTAGAATCATGTCAAAACATTAATATTAATTATGTTAAACAGTTATGGAATAGTTAAATTAATATTATTAGCATTGTTGATATGTTAAAATAAAAAACAGTTTTTCAAATTTTTAAAATTTTTCTACGAATGATTTGTTACACTTATTGATAACAATAATAATACATTTGATTTCATTATATTACTATTAACATTAATAATGTAAATAATTGATTTGATTTATCAAAATATATTTATTATTTACTTTATTAATATTAATAGTAATGTATTGAAATAAAATGTATTATTACTATTATCATTAGTTCTTATTGGGAGTGCAAAAAGTTTAGATTTTCTTAAGCTATACAATATAAGAAATTTTCATTTTAAATATCATATCTTTTGAGAACAAATAGCATTTTTTTTTCAACACAGTGAATTAATGAAAAAACTTATGAAAAAGTTTTAAATATATATATTTAAAACTTTATATGTTATTCTAATCAACGCATTTTAGTTTTCTACGTACGTATGAAGTGTGTGGAGAAAAAATTAAAATAGTTTGTATCTAATTCAATTAATCTGAAATCAGTATCCAGTCAGTATCCAAATAACTGAACACATACAGATTTCTTTTGGGTTATTTTATAGGAAAAAAGTAAATTATTTCAAGATTTGTTTAGATAGATACATACAAAGCCATCCTCTAACCAGTACAGTAGAGCATCGTTTATCCGAATCAATTGGGGACTGGGGTTGTTCGGATAACCAATTATGTACAAAAAATATATTAATTTATCCCGTGTTGAAATTTTTCTCCGTTGCGTGTCACTTCGCGTTGAATTTTCCTCAATGTTAAGCCTAACGAAGACTATTGTATCGTTAAAAATTATTTTTTTATTTTGTACAAACAAAATAAATATATTGAAAAATATAAAAACAATAAAAAATTATACTTCAGAAGTTAATTTAGTATCAAAAACGTAAAATATTTGAGTAGCCGAAGACATAGCCAAAGATTACAGTGCCACAGCACTGGCGAAAATTTAAATTTGTCGACTGGAATTCCTTCGGATAAACGACGTTCTACTGTACTTGCATACCTCTATAGATTTCAAAATAATTTTAATTTATAAACAGCCTGAAAGAAATCCAATAATGTTTATTTTATTTAGTTTGTCATACTATATGCCACTCAAATTCTTTCTAAATGCTAAGGCTGCTTTCACACAATCTGGGTTTTTACCTGGAGAGGTAAAACCCAGGCATTTAATATCAGCTGAGTAGCAGGGTATTGCAAGGTGAGACTTCACACCATATGGATAGTTTTTACGTCTCGCAACTGGAGCAAATTTGTCTTTACACAATCTGAGTATTTTTCTGTCCTGGCAGGTCATGTGAAAGCAGCCTAAAGATTCAGTATTCTTACTCCAAAATAGCAATCCATTAAAATTTATACATTAGTTGTAAGCTTAAAAAACATAGGACATGAAAACAGTGTAATATTTATAAACAGGTAAGAATATTTTCTTGCTTATCTATTTATAAAGATTGAAAACATTGTAAACACTAAAATAAAACATCAACAGCACACCGCTATATATAACAACTAACCTCTAAAAACCAATGTCGGTGCGTTTTCTCCAAAAAAATAAAATACAATATCATAAACGTTTTCGAACATAAAGTTCTTCCTCAGGTGAGAAATGGGCGAAAAATTGAATAAAATTTGATGGAACACTTTCTGAAAGAGCTCCGTAAAATGATTCGAAAAAACCTCGTGCGTATGACGACATCATTGCGCATGCACCTTCCTCAGAAGTAAAAAATCTCTCTACTAACATCCATCGTATATAAATGCTTGCCACGCTACGGATAAAGATAACTCTTCCTTACTGTTAATACACTTATTATTTTGGGCGGTTTTGTATACATAAAATGATGTCATACGCAGGAGGTTTTTTCGAATCGTTTTTCGGAGCTCTTTCAGAAAGTGTTCCATCGAATTTTATTCAATTTTTCATCCGTTTCTCACCTGAGGAAGAACTTTATGTTCGAAAACGTTCATGATATTAATGATATTGTTTTTTTTTACATATCAACATTGAACTTAATTGAAAGAGACCATCTGTTAATACTTAGACTACTCTCAATAACTAAAAACCAGCAAAATAACTCTCATAAATTCAGCAAATGTTTTCTTCCATTTTAGATGGATATCATCAGGCTATGTAGTTTGATCCTGGAACTAAATTCAAAAAATGTGACCACTCATTGATTGCTGAATCAAAGTGTTAATAGCCAATATTTAGTGGCTGTTGATTGACCATGTATTAATTACAAGTTTTTGAGCCATTTTTGATCTCTTTCTCTTTTAATGATGTGTGTATACAATAGTTCATGGACACCTCTGATATTGAAGAAATGACTTTAAAAAAGTTAGAAAATACTGAGATATATACTCAAATATTACTCAACTTTACTGTGTTATTTCTTTTAATTGGTAACACCAAAACTCACAAGACTTTTTAGTGGTTACCCATAATATTTTTTGATGTCATAAAATTGTTTGTGTAAAAAAAATTGAAAAAATGGTGCCACACAAAAATTGGAATATTGATGTCCATGTAAAAGTGCTTTCCGAACAAGGGTTGACTTCCAGAGAGATTGTGATTTCACAAAAATGTAGTTCCTATAAGTCTATAGGAAGCTATAAGTCAGATGGTAAGCAATGTTATTAGTTCTCGTATAAGAAAAAAAATTATAATGCGGAAAAGATGCGGATCATTTGAAACTTTATTTGAAACCTAATCCTGTGCACTGCAAAGCTAATATTGAGAAAGTCCACAAACTACTGTCTACACCAAATCTTCCAAGTATCAGAAATATTGCCAAGCAAATTGGAACTTGAATTATGTTTTGTACAATTCTCTGTCATGAGGATTTGAAAGCAACAAAATTACAGAAGACTAAAGTGCACTACTTTTCTTCAGAACACACAAAATTGCAAGACAAATGCTCACAAAGTATATGAGTGACACCTAGTGGCAGGTAGATTGGAATTTATGGTGGCATTGGATGAAACATATTTCTACTTAAACTACTCCAATGGAGTTAAGAAGATCTCTTACTCTTTTTCAGGTCAAAACTTTCCTGAAACTTTGTTGGCAAAGTGCTACAAAAGTTGTTCAGGAGATTTTACGATCGTTGGTGGAATGACCAGAAGAGAGAACGTTCTGCTTCCAGTCATTCCACTGATGATTGTGAAACCTTCCAACTAGTTTTTGTAGCACTTTGCCAACCAAGTGCTGACTATTGTATCAGCAATGTACTAAAGTCATACTTAGAAAGAGAGATTCCTTGCATGTACACAGGAGAGATGAGCAAAGTTGTTCCATCATGACAAAGCCTCTTCTCACACTACAAAGAAAACTGAGTAGTATCTTGAACAAATTAAAGCTTCTACAGGTCTAAAATCTCATATATATATAAAATAAATCCACTAAAACTATATCACTGGATGTCAGCCCTTTAGACTTCTTTGGCTTTGAATTCCTTATACAACTTTTCCGCCAATATGCTACAATTGAGTGAGAGCTTTGGAAAGTACTTAAAAGACGAATGGCCAAATTTAACCCCCCCGAAAAATATAAACAAGTGTTTGACTCAGAAACAAAAATGTAGGCTTGTTGCCAAACAGCAAGTAGCTTGCATTGAACAGACCAAAACAATTCACAGAAAGGTTCTTAAAGACATTAATTAATTTTGAAGTTGAGTAATATTTGTGTATACACTCAGTATTATCTCAGTTTAAATGAAGAGGACTGTAGGACCATTATAAGTACAAATTAGTATGCCACTAATACTACTAAAAAAATCCATATCAACAATGCCTCAACCTTCATTGATAATTGGCTAAATCAGTCCTCTTCATTTAAACAGAAGTTAAAATATATTTTGTTTCAAATGAAATAATTTTCTATATTCTGACAATTTCCCAAACTTGCATTTCTGTCAAATAAGAGTTTTTTTTATTTTATTAAACCCTGCATTAGTCCATATAGTTAAACTTTAAATAATGTAATATCTAATTTTTTTTAAATGATTATGATGTTTCTTTTTATGGGAAAAAATTAATTTTCAACTTAAATAAATAACTAGGATGTTCATGTATTGAAAAATGGGAGAGAAGTATTGTATTTATACTGTTTGATCATAATATGAAATAAAATTTTGGAATTTTGATGAACTTTCACACAAAAATTACAATTTTGTCATACTAATAATTTTTTAAACTAATATTTTACAATAATAATCTAAATATTATATATAAAGTTTAAATTATAGCAGAATTTTTAAATGCTAAATTCAAATAAATGATTGATTTTTATAATGAAGTTTTATTTTTATTTCAGACTATATTCATAAATGAGGAATTAGTTAGTAGAGGAGTTGCACAGTGGATAGAACATAGTTAAGTTGAGTTGATCTCAGTTCTCCCTCCCTAATGTCACGTGCTACGGATATTCTTCCATCAAATTATTGCCATGCCTTTATATACATAGGTAATCAAGTGATTGGTTTTTTTCTTTGTGTTAAAAAACATTAAAGTTTGAAAATGCATCATACATGTATTTTGTGTACACAGAAAACAAGAGAAAAAGTTTTTCAAAAAACTACTACTAAAAATAACAATTATAAAAGCATTCTTATATAATTTTTTTCCTTTGTATAAAAATTTTATTCGATGAAATTTCTACGGTAAAAATCATTGTTTGAATCACATTAAATTTTTAAGAAAATTGTTCTGAAATTTTGTTTGGTCTAATTGTTCATCAATGCCAATTACTACAGTTTTGGAAATGAAGTTGAGTATTTCTTTCGAATATCTGATCCATGTTAAATGAGGTGTCTGTTTTTAAAAGCCTGTGTCAAATTAAAAATATATATTTCCTTCATACAGTCGTCTGTGTATGAAATTGTTTCAATGTATAAAAAAAAACCAGTATATTATTATGGTGTCATCTCTCAAATATTGCTGTCTGATGTTTTGTCAAACTATCAAATTTATATTTTCATATTCCTCAAAGAAAATTTATATACAGTTATACATATATATATATTATATTTAAAAAAAAGCAAAAGGAAATGATTCTAAGAAAATTAATGTACATTCATAGAGATTTTGTTTAAGAAAAATTTTATTAAAAGAAAATTTGGATATATAATATATTGAGTGAAAAATTAGCAGTTTTATTCTATTCATAATAGTTTATATTAAGTGTATAAATATACTGTATATTTCCTGTTATTTATTAAAAATTTAAATAGCATCTTTATGAAGAGTTTGACAGAAAGTAGTGCAAAGATGTATAGAGATTTCTTTTATATTCACTCAGGCATTTTAGGTACAAATTACTAATTGAATAAACCAAATTTTGTTGTTTTGAATCTAAGCCAGGAGTGTGTTCATTAGATATAATTTATAACACTTTGCCATTTGTGTGAATTGTTTTTTGCTCAATAATTGTAAGTGTATCGATTTAAAAATGTCAATATAGTTTAAGATTTGTTGAAAGAACAATTTTATCTCTTGTTAAATTTGATGTAAGCATGCAATTGTAAGAACAGTTTTATGTAAAATTTTGCCATGTACTTTTCTTCACAAGATGATAACTTGTTTTTAATGTCATCATAATATGTATGGGGAATATCAGCATTTCATTTTTTTCCCTTTCTAGTTAGCAATCAAAAGATGTTATTTTAATTGTTGTTTTTTTTCTTTTTGTAGTTTAAAATTATATTTGTTCATCAGCAAGAATAGTTTGACTTTATATGAAAATGTAAAAAAAAGGTCCATTTTCTCAGAAATTTTAGAAGCTAGATACATAACATTTTACACAAGTATGAGAGGCAATGTGTCAGTTAGTGACACTATAGCAATATATTTATTGCACAAAGGAAACCAGGTTATACTAAAACGTTAGATATTTTAAGAAGTTTAATTCTTTGACAGTTTACTAATGTCAAAATAGTCGTGTTTATAGAAAAGTGAGAAGAAAATACTTATTGGGCCTTTTTGTAATTTAAAACATATTGGCTAAATTAGTCAATGTGTTTGAACACTGTTGCAGCTTTAGGATGTAAATCATTTGTAGTCCATTTATCAACAAATAAAGTTTAGTTCTTATGTTAAAACTTGTTTTGTTTAGAAAAATTTTTTTAATTTATTTTAAATGCACATTTTAGCACATTATTCTAAATCACAAATGTTTTTGAGCTTAAAGCTCAGAATGAGCAGCATCATCTCTCTGAATATCACTATCGGCCAACCATTCTTGGTAGACTTGTTCGGGATCTATCATCCAGTGTTTGTGAAAACTTATTGGTGGATGATGATGATATTCTGGTGCATAATCCATTGGCCTAGCCTAAAGGTAAGAAGTATAAAAATTTAAATTTTAAAGATTATACAATTTATGAAAAAGATTATACAAAGTTATGATTTTATCAATATAATATACCTGATGAAATAATTTTGAGTGTGTTATTGGAATCCCAAACTTTTTCAAACAAATTCCTAAAATCATATCATCCGGAGAATCCTTGGAAGGACATTGACAAGTTCCAAGTTGTTTAACAGTTTCAACACTGAATACCATCCTGAAATTCAAAGATTTATCTTCAAGTAAATTCTAATTTAAAATAGATTTAGTATTAATTTATAAAATATTTATCTATATATTATATTTTTAACAAATAAGAACAATTAAAAAATGTACTCATATATTAGTCTATTTCTATTGAAATACATAATCCTTCATATTTAAAACATTGATTTATTGATAGACATTTTATATTTAGTAAATGATATTTTTTCAAATGTTTTGCTATTGTTTAGTTCACAAATAAGTAATCTCTTTACATATGTTTATTTTTACTATACAAAATATAAATCAAATCATGCAAGCATGTATATAAATTTTTAATTTTGTTACATGTATTTTTTTTTTATCTGGAAATTACACAAGTCTGTCCAGGCATAGAATCTGTGATCTTTGAACATAATTGAATATAATCCCTTTAATAATTGTGATTAAAATTGCTTTTTTCTTCGTGTTTAACTATCAGATTGTTGATTTTTCAAAAAAGAAATTGCTTCCCAAATCCAATAAGTACTAATTTCTTTTGAAGAGAGTTTGTTGTATATCATACATAATATACAGTCGGTGACTGTGTAATTACCATGCATTGTCATACTTAATGTCTACAATGTTCATCACAAAAAGAATAAATTATTTTATTATATAGAAAGAACAAGAATAAAGCATTTTTGATATTTGAGTAATTTAAGTCCTTGAATATCTTTCTCTACTTGATATATTCTTTCATTGTGTGAAATTTCAATGTTCTGAAGTTTCATATTCTTGCTTACCGCAATACAGTGAAATTTCATTAACTTGGCATCCTGGTAAACCCAATAAGCTGGCATGTCCAGTTTGTCTTTAGGAGGGAGTTATTGATGCACTGGGTATTTGTATTTACATGCAGCTAGATAATTTTAAATTGAAAATAAAATCAAAATTAATTAGTCAGTTTATTAAAAGTAATTAAGTCAGTTGAAACAATATTTTGGAAAGTGTGGATAAAGTACTTGCTGTCCATCTTGATTGATTTAGTTATATCAATATTTCATCCAGGCAGTCAGAGCTGAGTTTGTTTACAGCACTCAATACTGTAAAGTTTGTTTTGATTGGCAGTGGCTTAACATTTTGCTTTTATATACCTTATATATAATAACTCTTTTGTACACTTTTATCCATATCTATTCTATATATTTTTCTTTTGGTGCCCTATGTCTGGCTAATGTATTGTTATTGCTGGCTCTTATGAACAGTTCTGAAGATTTTTCACACCAATCACACCAAAAAATTTTTCACACCAAAACAGGTTTTTCAGCCATGAGATTCAGTGTCGTCTTGGCTCTTTTTTTTTTCTTCAGAGATTTTTCATTGTATAACAAGTTGAGAAATAGTATCAAGTACCAAATCCTACATCATGTGGCAAAGTATTCTGACTTTGTTTGATGGTGTTGAGCAGTTCTTGTTGTTTATCCATTTGTCACAATATTTCCACATTGGTCACATGTTCTACCCAGGATACTCTTGGAAGCTTTCAGTAAATCCACATTTCAAAGGCTTTGATCTTTTTTTCAGATATTTTGGTTACAATTCAAGATTCAACTCCGTACAATAGCACCAGGAACACACAGCATCTGATCATTCTAGTTTTTGTACCAAGGGTTAGGTCTCTAGAACATAAAAAAAAAGCAAGAACTGTTTTTACGAAAATTGCTATTTTGTGCTCTGATCTCTATATCATGATCCCAGTTATCATTTAAGATACTTCCCAAGTAATTAAATATTTCTACTTTCAATTTCTTTTGATCTAGCCATCAACTTGCCCCAAATTGATGTTTGACTTATGGTTTAGATCTCAACATCAAATATATGATCATATTTTTTCACTTGAGATTCTGACTTGATCTAGCAACATCTGAGGATCTTTAAAATTTGTGGAGAGCAGTGCTGCGTCATTGGCATAACAAATGTTGTTCAGATATTCTCCATTGATCTTTGATGCCAATGTAAAGATCAGACAGTGCTTCTGAAAAAATATTTTCAGGCCTATATGTTGGAGAGTGGGAGATAATATACAGCTTTGTACACCTCTGTAGATCTGAATTTGATCTCTCAGTTGACTTTCCACAAATCAAATAGATCAGGTGGATCTATTTGATTTGATTCAGTAAAGGTTTCTGATGTCTGTCATCAATGCCAATTCCATGTAGTGCCTAGTCATCTTTTCATGTTGGCATCTGTTGAAAGCATTTGTATAATCAAAAAACATATGTATGTCACATCTTATATCTCTGCATCTTTGTATGAGAACATGCATTGTAAATAGGGCCTCTCTAGTGCTCATGGAGAAGCCAAATTGTATTTCTCCAGTGTTTTCTTTATATTTTTTGTAAATTCTGTTATGAATGATTTTTAAGAAAACCTTGAGCATGTGATTCATGAGGTTGTTCATTCTGTATTCATCATATGACTTGGTGTTGGCTTTTTTGGTATGGTGACAAAAAGTTGATCACAGCCAGTCAATTGGGAGATGCCCGTGTCATAGATGGCATTGAAGAGTTCTGTTAGTTCATTAATGTTCACTTCTGATATGAGTTCCAACGTCTCTAAAGGGATGTCATCTGGACCATTGTCTTTCCTGTTTTTTGATGGTCTTAAGGCTCTTATAACCTCACTCTCCAGTATTGGTGGTCTGGTGCTACTGTTTGATAGGTCATTCATTCTCTATTGTCACTGAATAATTTTTCTATATTTTCTTTCCNTAGTATCAAGTACCAAATCCTACATCATGTGGCAAAGTATTCTGACTTTGTTTGATGGTGTTGAGCAGTTCTTGTTGTTTATCCATTTGTCACAATATTTCCACATTGGTCACATGTTCTACCCAGGATACTCTTGGAAGCTTTCAGTAAATCCACATTTCAAAGGCTTTGATCTTTTTTTCAGATATTTTGGTTACAATTCAAGATTCAACTCCGTACAATAGCACCAGGAACACACAGCATCTGATCATTCTAGTTTTTGTACCAAGGGTTAGGTCTCTAGAACATAAAAAAAAAGCAAGAACTGTTTTTACGAAAATTGCTATTTTGTGCTCTGATCTCTATATCATGATCCCAGTTATCATTTAAGATACTTCCCAAGTAATTAAATATTTCTACTTTCAATTTCTTTTGATCTAGCCATCAACTTGCCCCAAATTGATGTTTGACTTATGGTTTAGATCTCAACATCAAATATATGATCATATTTTTTCACTTGAGATTCTGACTTGATCTAGCAACATCTGAGGATCTTTAAAATTTGTGGAGAGCAGTGCTGCGTCATTGGCATAACAAATGTTGTTCAGATATTCTCCATTGATCTTTGATGCCAATGTAAAGATCAGACAGTGCTTCTGAAAAAATATTTTCAGGCCTATATGTTGGAGAGTGGGAGATAATATACAGCTTTGTACACCTCTGTAGATCTGAATTTGATCTCTCAGTTGACTTTCCACAAATCAAATAGATCAGGTGGATCTATTTGATTTGATTCAGTAAAGGTTTCTGATGTCTGTCATCAATGCCAATTCCATGTAGTGCCTAGTCATCTTTTCATGTTGGCATCTGTTGAAAGCATTTGTATAATCAAAAAACATATGTATGTCACATCTTATATCTCTGCATCTTTGTATGAGAACATGCATTGTAAATAGGGCCTCTCTAGTGCTCATGGAGAAGCCAAATTGTATTTCTCCAGTGTTTTCTTTATATTTTTTGTAAATTCTGTTATGAATGATTTTTAAGAAAACCTTGAGCATGTGATTCATGAGGTTGTTCATTCTGTATTCATCATATGACTTGGTGTTGGCTTTTTTGGTATGGTGACAAAAAGTTGATCACAGCCAGTCAATTGGGAGATGCCCGTGTCATAGATGGCATTGAAGAGTTCTGTTAGTTCATTAATGTTCACTTCTGATATGAGTTCCAACATCTCTAAAGGGATGTCATCTGGACCATTGTCTTTCCTGTTTTTTGATGGTCTTAAGGCTCTTATAACCTCACTCTCCAGTATTGGTGGTCTGGTGCTACTGTTTGATAGGTCATTCATTCTCTATTGTCACTGAATAATTTTTCTATATTTTCTTTCCTTATGTTAAGCTTGTCTTTCATATTTACTGCTAGGTTCCCATCCTTGTCTTTTAGCAATGCACATATCTTTAGAGAAACTGCAGGCAGATCTTCTTGTGCATATTAGAGAGATCATGTTTTTTCTGGTATTCTTGTATCTCTGTGCACAATTCAGTCATTTGAGTTTCCTTTGTGGTTTCTATTTCTTGTTGGGTCATATTTGGTTTTGTCTCAATTTTTGAAAGTTCTTATCATTCATCCATTCTTTCTTCTTGTTCTTTCATTCCCTTCTGCATAAATGCATATTGCTAAATTTCTGGATTATCTTTTATTCCATTCATCTGCTGTTTTCTAATTCCTCTTGTACTGTCTGTCTTATTGTTATTTGTACTTCATCTTTGACCATCCTCAGTTTTATGAGATTTGGGATAGAATTATGCAGATTGTGAACCAATGGGTTGTGGTCTCGGGTACATTTGCACCAAGATCGGTCTTGGTTGCAGTGATCTGTTAAAAATCTTTTATTTATCAAAATAACATTAGAAGTCACGTAGACTATCTGGTCTCAAGGTGTAAAGCCTTCTGGGAAGCAGTTTGAACCAAGTGTTGGTGATCACCATCTCTTCCTCTCTGCAAAACAACATTTTTTCCTCCAAGACAATGCAGTCCAACAATGTCTTCCTCCTTGCCCTGTCCAACTTTGGCATTGAGATCACAATAATAATGGGAGATTTCATTTTTCTTTGTGTGTTTTAGCTGCCTTGATCTGTTCTTAGAATTCTCCAATCTCTTCCTCTCCTTTCTCTGCAGTTGGGGCATAAACCTATATGACATTCATCCTTAATGGATTACCTTCCAATTTGACCTTAATGATGCTATCCAACAATTATGTTATGCTGTGTACCGATCTGACTATTGCTTTATTTAATATCACACCAACTCAATTCTGGTAGTGATATTCCTCATTGCCAGAGTAATGTACTATGTATTCAGAAATACAGTATTCTCCTCTTCCTGGCAATCTTGTCTCACTTATTCCCATTATATTAATATATGAAATGAAGACAAAATTCATAACATAATATTTAAACACTTTTGTAGATACTTCTGACATTCTGCATACAGATATTTGTGTTTAACTCAGGGATTCTTTGCACTTCTGTTCACTAAAAGGCTGGCAAGGACTGTGAGGGCCAATTTTAATAGGTGTTCAACCATGAAATATTTTCCTGGTAAGTTAATGCACTGGTTTTCCCTTGCCTTCCATGTATTTATTATCATTATTAGTGTTCTTGTTTCAAACCAACCAAAAGTAAGAATAGTCTAGAAAAATTGAAATGGCATGTTAAACAATCATAAAAGGTGGATTTGTATAGTTTTACACACAAAGATATATAAAATTGTGTCCAGGAAATTGAAAAAACTGAAATTCCATCATCCAATAACCCAGAACATTGGTCCTGGCAATGGAATGTCACAGTAGATTCTGAGAGAATTTGTAATACAATTAGTCTATTGTTATACATCAAAATATAATTTGACTACATCTCTGTGTAAAATGATTTATTTGTTTATGGACAAAAGTTGAAGAATTAAACAACTTTTATGTGTGAGAATTAACACTACAATATAATTGGTCTTTATTGAAAAGAACAAGCACTTTCAATCTTGTGTTTTGTTCATAACACACTTTTAGAATTAACAATTGATAGCTTTCAATCAAATGTGAAGATCTTGAGACAACCATAGAAAAGAGAAACCATGTTGATCTAACTTTGACATTGAAAAATCTGTTAGATTAATGTCCAATTATACATATGTTATTTTAAAAAATGGACAATTATAACAAACTCTAATTTTGAAATCAGGTGATTAATCCAAACTAAAACTAACATAACTTTTCACTTTCCTAGAATTTTGGTAATTATAATAAAAGGTAACATCAAACTCCAAACACAACATGTAAACTGGAATTTTAATTATTATGATATAGAGCAAGGACAATTTTCATTTTATCTTTAAAATTTTTGGCCTGTAAAAATTGGCTGGATGAAAATAAAGGTCATTGATTGAAATTTTATCTGTATTACTGTTGCTCCTATGTGGAAAATTATTATGTAATGTAAAAAATTTTCAATGTACATGAGACTAAAATGGAACGAGGTCCTATTTCAAGAGATAAAATTAACTTTCAGATACAGCCCTCAAAAAAGTATCAGACCACCTGGATTTTCAAACTTCTCATTAAAATTAACTGACTTTTAATACCCTAAATATGAAAGTAGGTATTAAAATAGGCACAAACCAAACAACATATTTATAGGTGATCAAATAAAACAAATTCCAGGCAAATTGCAAGCAATAAAGTTTGAAACCAAGATCAATAATTCATATTCTGCAACATTCTAAAATACAGTAGACATTGCAATCTAATTTTCATATGTCCATGTCGTGTGTTTTCAACTTTCAGTAAAAATGGGATCTGGTGAAATGTTAACAGATGAAGAAAAGTGCAAGACATGTGCATTCAGAGACTGGAAATCTGATCTTCCTAATAGGCCTGCAACGACATGTCCAAAGATGGTAACTCATAATTACTTAAAGGACTTTTGAAGAAGTGTAGAAAATGCCTCGGAGATGACAGTAAGCTGATTACCACCAATTAATGGCTGGGGAATGAGACCTTATCCTGGAGCTGCATGATCTCTGTTTGTTGATGCAGCTGTTGCCATGCATGTTTGGCACAATGTGAGTAATATCCAGTGATGTGTGACAATGGATTGCACCAGTGTGTGACAGCACACAGGTGCTCACCAAATGGCCTATCAGAACCTGTTCACCACTTCATATGACATCCAAAATTGCCTATTGCCATCAATTGGTGCATCTAGGTCCACCCAAACCATTCACAACAGGTTGCATGAAGTCAGGCTGCATGTATGACGATGACAACACCACCACCATGCCAGAACTCTACTACTACTTCTAAATGGTATCTGTATTGTTTACAGATGAATTCCACTTCTATTTGCAGAAGAATGATAATCATGAATGAGTGCGGTTGTATTCTGGGAAATGCTACATGCCAGCCCTTTTTGCCAAGAATCATACTGGCACACATTGGTTTCCACATCATGTTCAATCAGCACACAACCCTGGTATACATTTCTGGTACTCTGACAGTGGAGCAGTATGTCACATGAATTGTGGGGCCTGTGGTTCGGCCACTGGTATTCCAGCAAAAAAATTGCACAGTGAACTCTCACCAGCCTGAGCAGAATTCACATCCTTCTCTAGCAAGCAGCTTCACTGGATCTCTTTCCTATCGATCACCTCTGGGGTCTTGTCCAACGTGAGGTGCACCAGGGACCACCACCACATACCATAGGTGATGTGTGCACAACAATGGATGCAACTTGGCAAGGGATACCTCTGTCAACAATTAATCATATCATTGATAGTATGCCTCACTGTATAGCTGTCTGTGGGTGCCATATTCATTACTGAAAAAACAGGTGTCTATTGCATATTTTTATTTGTTCTTTTAATCATTTGTTCTTTTAATCATTTACTTATGTCTCTCACCTGTACCAGTCCTGCAATGTGCATGAGGCTACATGCATTCCTTCAAGGTGTTGCAATTTCACTTTTGAGGAGTGTAATTATAATTTCAACTATACCAAATTTAAATAATAAACAGTGCAGCTGCAAGGTAAAAAAGACATAGATGGTGTGTTGTTTATTGTTTTATACAACCAAAAGTAAACTGTATAATATTTATTCTAATATGTTTGACCTATTAAGAATATAAGTACATCAGCCATTTCTGTGTACCATAAAATTAATTAGATAAATTTTTACTGATTATGATCAAATTCATCATTTATAACTAATTAAAACTATATTAAATAAAATTTACAAACCCTCCTCCTCCAGTTATATAATTATATCCTTGTCCACTCAGCACATCGTAGCCATATCTTTCACCAAGAGCTATGGCTTCGGAAGAATTGTAGCACCTTAATAATTTTAGAAGTCGAGGAACACTGGAATAAAAGTATTATGAAGAGCATTAATACTGAAACAAAACACGTTTCAAAATAAAATTTCTAACATACAGTAAAACTTCTCTAACTCAAATATTTCTTTAACTTGAAGAAAATGAAGTACCTGGTAGGTCTCAATGGAACAGCATAAATTTAATGTCTCCAACTTAAATCAATATCAGAACTGTGAACATAAATTTTCTCCAAGTCAAAGGCTTTACTTTCAACTTTTCCGACTTAAATTTTAATATTTACTGCATCCAGAGTGATCCTAATTATCAGATTTCCACAAAATTTTCAGACAGTTTTATCTACTGTCCAACACCTATTTGCAGATAATGTTGCAGTCCAAAGCAAGAGGACCTCTCACTTTATCTCAACAAGATGTTCAATGGAATCAGTTTTGCAGGTACATTTTGCTGAGTTTTTTTGTTTAAACAGCCCATGTAATGTCTATCAAAAATTCTCTCTATACAATGTGAATTCTGAATAATTTGTATTTTTACCTCCCTTATTTTTCAGACAATTCAAGTTAGAGAAATTTTACTGTAATTTCATCGTGTGTTTTTTCTGTCTGAAATAAAATAATAATAACAACCAATTTATTTAAATAAAATATGGAAGTTATTGGGTAAAAATATAAAAATGCTTCAAAATAAAACAGATAAATATCACTTAGATTTACCAAACATAAAGTAAAACTATTGTTTAAAAACATTAATTCTTATTAACTATTACTGAAGTCACTTTTTCTAATTGATTGAACTCTTCTAAAATCAAAAACATGCAAAATTTTACATATGAACTTGTTTTGTAAGAAAAATACTTTAAAAAAAATCCACAAAATTTGAAGGGACAACAAAGGAGGACACTTATATAATTAGTCCAAGAAGAAATTCATTTGTGAATTTTTTTTTAAATTTGTACTTATGTTCTGACAAAATAGATTTTATTAATTGTTCTTACAAGTTGACTAGTTTTGCCTTACAAATTCCCCACTACTAAAGCCTAGCCTGGGGGATAAAAACAGTTTTGTATCCAGATTTATAGGAACAAGAAATTTTCAATGTTTAATGTAGGTGTTTCCATATGATGTATATGCTGTTATGAAGGCCTAATGTTTCCAGACTTTGTGTAGTAAACATAGAACTGCCCACAAAAAACACTGATCTAGATATAACACAATACATAAAATATACAGACTCCAAGTAGTTTGGGCCTAGGAGTTCAAAGATAGACATCCTAATGATCTCAGCCAGGATCATGTTGACAGAATTGAATCAAACGTCTGGCTGGAGAATTCTTCTTGCATGGCAATCTTGAACCTTTCCATTTCTCCAAAGATCAGGTTATGAATACAAATAAGTACAAGAAGATTTTAAAAGATACTTGTAAAGAATAAACACACTATACACACGATATCAAGTTGCAAACTTTTAGTCCATATGGACTGCTATTTGGTTATGTCAATGAAATTAAAAATCAAAGGCTTAATTTCATTGACATAACCAAATAGCAGTCCATATGGACTAAAAGTTTGCAACTTGATATCGTGTGTATAGTGTGTTTATTCTTTACAAGTATCTTTTAAAATCTTCTTGTACTTATTTGTATTCATAACCTGATCTTTGGAGAAATGGAAAGGTTCAAGATTGCCATGCAAGAAGAATTCTCCAGCCAGACGTTTGATTCAATTCTGTCAACATGATCCTGGCTGAGATCATTAGGATGTCTATCTTTGAACTCCTAGGCCCAAACTACTTGGAGTCTGTATATTTTATGTATTGTGTTATATCTAGATCAGTGTTGTTTAGGTTGAATAGTGTTGTCTTTGTCTTCAAAAACTATTTTATCAGCATTTTTAGTAAAAAGACTGACACACTAAGTGATCAGTTTATCAGTTTTTTTAATTTCATTTGTATCTGACAAAGACTTGCCCTTCCTTTCCTATTGACAGTATTTTGATGATCTAAGATTTTTCCCATTGTTTATTTTTCTTTCTAGTCATCACAGAATTGTCTAAAAAACCATTCATAAACACAGGAATTATTAACTTTGCCTTGATGACATTACACCCTCTCCCCCCTAATTTTGGTTTCTGATGACTGGTGATGATGGGTAAGGAGATCAAAATAAGGATAAATTTTTTACTGATGTAATATTTGAATGGTCCCCATAAGAAGTATGCAAGAAGTTTGGAAACAGTGTAACTTGGCATTAAACTGTGGCTTGCTTATTTATCTATCATTTTAAACTATTACCTTCATTTTCCTAGGAAAATATTTTACTTAATATCAATATAGTTTTGTTGAATTAATACTTTATCTACTGACAAATTAGATAAAAATAATAACTATTTTAGAATGTTTATACATTAGACAAATGAAAACAAAATATAACCAAATATACGTAAAGTCTTTTAATTTGTTTCTGATCAAATTTTAAAATCATATTATTTAAATATTCAAAACATTAATTTTAGCATGAATTATTATGACATTAAATAAAATACTTACCTTAACAAAGTATCATCATCAGCAATTACTAGCCAGTTTTTATTATGATGATATCTTGATTTTATAAAATATTGAATAATTGCCATTGTCTTTGCACAATGTCCAAATTCAACATTTGGAATGCCTAAATTTATTGTTGGAATGCTTCCATCTGTTTTCTCACTAAAAAATATTAAACAGCTTGCATCTTTTCCCCAAGTATTCTTAACTACTGGAACTAAAAGCAAATAAAAAGTTCATGAGTTCTTTTTCCTCTTCTAAAATTCAAAAATATTTAAGAATAACATTTATTATTAGAATAAAATGAGAATATTAAGATATAATTATTTAAATACAACTTTTTTTAATTTTACATAAAAAATTACAGTAGTTTTAATTTTTAGATAATTAACTGATATAATGTAATTTTATCAAAATCATACACAACTCTAAACTTTGACTGTTATTTAAAATTATAATGTAATATTCAATAAAAATTTATCACTTTATGCTTTTATATTACAATAAATAAATTGCTGAAAATTATATCAAATGAAGTAGTTGTAGTTAGTATATTACATTATATGTATATATACATATAATGTAATAAATAATATAAAATATAAAAACAATGAAAATAAAGAACTGCAAAGATAATATATAAATTTGTAATAACCACAAAAGTTTGCAAAAAGTTTAACAACAGTAAACCATTGTTATGCAGACCATTTCTAATCTATTCATGTCATTCATTGTTCACAAGAATTTGTATTAGCAATTATTTTTGTATTTTGTCTCATCATTACAAATAACAATAAAGAGTAAATATTTAATATTGTTCTTTGCTTCATCATTAAATTTTGTTGCAAACTGAATTCTTTCAGACCAGATATTTTAAAAATCTGTAATACTTCTTAATTAAATGATGAGTAAGACAAAAGTCAGCAACATATGGTTCTTTGAAAACATTTCTGCACATTCCAGCATCATTCTCCTGATATTTGTATGCAGAATGTCTTAACTGACGATACAGGTCAGCAGTTGATGAATTTCTACATCTCAGTGAAATGTTTACTATAAGATATCTATACTCCATTGTTTTATCTGTGGTATACAAAGTACAATATTTTTTCATTGACGACAATCTAGAAAATTGATTCTGCAATACAATAGTAGTATTGTATAATCAGTTTTCCAGCATTTACATTGGTAATGACTTAAGTGTAACTATATCAGAGAAATATTTTTTGTTGTTCAATGACAAGCTTTTAAAACATCTGTACAGCTTTATGGCCAGAGAATTACTGGAGTGAATACAATAGAGATGCAGCTTAGAAATGTGGCCAACATTAACAAAATTTTTGTTTAATTTATTATTAATAATGATTAAAATTTTGGATATTTAACTTATTTCTATCCAAAGAAAGAAACTAATTCTCATATGAAAATAAGCAATTATAAGAAATTAATAAAAATATTCTCACATTTATTTCAATTATCTGTTTCTGTGCCACTCAAGATAATTTTTATACTATTTTTATGTCTCATATATTTTAATGAGCGTTATATACCGACATACGCATTTAAAAAATTCTAAAACAAAAAACATTCCCTTACAAGTATTGTTTTAGATATTTAATATTAGGATATAGTTTTTAAAACAACATTTCTCAATCACTTGATGATTATGTTGAGAAAATATTGGTTATTGTCATTGATAAAGATGATATAAAATAAATTAATTTAAAGTAACCTTTCATGTTGTTTGCCATATTTGTTATTAATAATAATAATGTGTTAAAATGTTGACAAAAATGGAAGTGTTAAAACGTTAACTTTGAACATAGTTAATTAATTAAAAAAACTTTCATAAATACATAAAATAATGAAATTAAAATGTACATTTTAACTTTAATCATCAATTTTTGAAATTAGACACATTAGGAAGTTAATGTGCATTGTAATTTTAAAGAAAGAAGGATTACTATTAGTTATTTCAAAAGTTTAAAGTTGAAATTATCTTACCTCTATCTGCATGAAATTTTTCACAAGTTTTTACAAAAAAGCAAACATCATCTCTATTCACTTCATATTCCTAAAATAAAGTTTAAAAATATATAACTGTTATAAGCGACTGGTTATAATAGATCCTGTTCAATTGAAGAGCTATTAAATTACAAAAATTCAATTATTTATAATCCATATAAATTTATTAGTAATTAAAATTTTATCACAAATATTTAACTTAGATTTTCTTTTTTCCAAGTCTGTTTCTAAATTTATAATTGTTCATTTATTACTCCTTGCATATCACTTTCTCAATTTGGAAGTAGTGCTAACATTTCTTGCATTCTAAGTGATATCAACTATAATCATGCCTTCCCAAATTTCATAAGAGTAGTTTATTTATTTTTATCAATTACTCAGCTATCAAGAAGTGTATTATTTATTGAAAACTTCTTTCTTATTTTAAAATATTTCAATATTTTAATATACGTAATTAGAATAATTAATGTTTTTATATTTTGTTTTTCTTTTTACTCTGAGTTGGCTGTTACTTCATTATTTTGGGAATGACAATCATTGCTATTAATGCAATGATTTCCACTCCCAAATAAAAGGTGTTTTTTTATATTTATAATTTACTTTTTTAACATTTATATAGTGCATCATTGCATATGTCAACTGGAATATTAATTAATGTATTTATATACAAATCAAATCTTTTACAAAATACATACTAATCATTTAATAAATTATATAAAATAATTAAAGAAAATTAAATTTGACTTACATTGCTAAATTTTAACATAATAAAAAAAAGGATTGAATGTAAACTATCACTTGAATATTCATAAAGCTATTTAAATATAAAACTGAAAAATATATCAAATAAAAATTTATGAACTGAAACAAAATTTTCAATCTTACACATAGTGGAGTTGATTCAGTGATCCATGTTACACATTTTTCAGATAATCTTGATAAACAGAATTCAGGAATGTTTTGTAAACTAATATTGATTTCATCATTCCACATAAATTTGGCAAACTATAAAATAATGAAAACTATGTTAATCTTAAATTAAATAATATAAATTTCAAAAAACACAAGACGTTATTAGATGAAATCAATGAATTAGTTAACACAGTCTGATCGAATTATGTAATCACTAAGTTCATAAGAATAATATTTTGATTATTAATGCTATAATTTTATTTATTTATTTTCATTTTCCCAAATTTTATTCATTATTTGCAAATCATTTTGCTTTAACATGTAGATATTTTTTTTGTGATTACAATGAAGATCTAAATAAAAGAATCAAATGTATTAAATGAAAATTAAACAGATGGGTAATAAAATTAAGAATCAAATTTCAAAATAAAATTATATTTGATGAAATTTTTTTCTAAGAATTTTCTACAGTTTAGTCTATTTTATGCTAAAAGGTCTCTAGGTAAATTTAACCAAGGTAAAACATGAAACTACAATTCTAAATGAATTAATATCTTTAATGTACAAAATATCAATTCATAACAGTAATTTGTAGAAACAAAGTTAAAATAGAATTGAGGATTTTCAAATATAGTACTGTGTCGATTATCCAAATGCTGATCAACCGAAAGTGTTCCAGTCAGACTGTGTTGTGTTGAATTGAACATTTTGGATACTAGATTAACTTCTAAAGTATAATTTTTTTTTGTTTTTATATTTTTCAATATATTTATTTTGTTTGTACAAAATAAAGAAATAATTTTTAACGATACAGTAGCCATGATTATTATTAAAAAAATTTTCATTAGGCTTAACATTGACGAAAATGCAACATGAAGCGACATGCAACAGAAAAATTTAAACATGGGATATATTAATATACTATTATTGGGATATACTAATATACTATATTAATAATGTATTTTTTCATACATAATCGGTTATCCGAAAAATCGATTTTCTGAACAATCCCAGTCCCGAATTGATTCGGATAATCAACACTCTACTGTATATAAATATACTTATATATTTGAAAATCCTCATCAGTCAAAAGTTTTTACTGATTGTCCTTATATATATATATGGACAATCAGTAAAAAAGCAAACATCATCTCTATTCACTTATAAGTAAAATTACTAATTACTTTATATANCTACAATTGCACCTATTTCTTGAAACTGTCCCTTTTGCCTACTAATATATTTATATTATGCCCACTTTCCATACTGCTGAGATTTTACTTCATTCTCTAAAGTTGATTGCTTGTCCTGTCTGGCTGGTCTTGTTTATTTGCCCTGCCTCTGTATATTTGAGGTGTCTCTTGTCTTGAATCTTTTGTATTACTTTTGTTCATTCCCAATCCAATGTAACCTCTGTTGGGTCTGCTAAAATATACATCACTAGTGAGTGCACTGACTGACTGCTCATTCCATATGTTTCTTTTATGTTCTTTTAATCTTTCTTTTAACGACCTCCCTGTGGCTCCAATATAGTAAAGCTCTTTTTGCCACCTTTTAGAGCAGGCGTAATATAAATATATTAGTAGGCAAAAGGGACAGTTTCAAGAAATAGGTGCAACTGTAGCCTTTTTATGTTTGCAGTTATGTTACTTTCTTTATGTATTTATTTATTCATTTATTATGTTTGTATCTACTTTATTTGTATGTTTGTGTTTGTACATGTTATTATCGCATATATATTGTAATTTTATATTTATGAGATTGCACACTAGAAAGTTCAAAATTAAAAATGTTCCAAAACAAATTTTGTTGTATACAAATCAGAAGCATTTGATTTTTGTTCTTGAAGGAAGTCATTAAAAATGACCAAAAGCATTTGAATAGATAATAAAATGGCTGCATATTAAAAGGTTTTGTTTGAGGTTTAATTGTTTGTACAAAGTGCAGTTAGAGAAGAGTAACAATATATATCTTTGTGATACAGTGGAACCATGTTCATCCAGCTCAAACAGGACCAGGCCTAACCCAGATGACCAAAATCCATTAACAACATATAATGTGCATCTAAACTGTGTTATTTATTTTATTTATTGTACATTATATATAATTTTACAACAATATTAACAGTATAAAGCAAAAGATGTATCTACATACAGTATCAGTTCTTTGTTTTCTATCAGCTATGTACATAAGTTTCCTGACCATTTGTGGGGTAAATTTCTCTTTATGACCTTTTTCAAGGTCAACCAGTAATTGGTTTCCCTACAGAGCACTAAGCCTGTAGGACTAATTTGAACTGAAGTATTTGATATACTGTACTATATTTATTTTTGTTACCTGATCCTCGTATAAAGTTACAGGTGTTCTAAATTGGAATTAAGCCAAGGGAAAACAGTATTCTTACAGCTGCAACATTATATTCAGGCAAGAATGTACTATTTACAAGTTAGTTCTTTGATTTTTTCGGATTTATAGGTTTGCCTTATGTCTATCTTTCCAATTTTGGATAAATGGAGTTCCACTGTGTTCCTGTTTTATGAAGCTATGATAAAGATTTCAACATTTTAATGATGGAACATACATTTCTAACATCTTCAAAAATAATTATTCATAGGGTTACTATGAGCAAATTGATGAATATTTGTAATATAATTAAAAATTAAGTTAGAAATATTTTTATCATCATAATCTTTTCTTTCAAATCAATAAGTAGACTAAAAACTTGCAAATACAGATACATAAAAGTGTATATATGCAATTGTGTTTCATACATTTTAAATTGCTTAATGAAAAAATTTGAAAAAGTATCAATTCATATGTCTCTTGTTTTATTTTATGAAAGCAGATTAAGAAATGGCAATATTAGAATTTGCCAATTACAAACCTACTTAAAGAATTAAAATTTAAATATTATTTTTAATAAACTGCAGCCTAATATAAATATATTTAATTATAATTTGTGTGATAAAATATGGTTCACTCATTAGTTTTACTAACTACATCAATAATTTTGATAAACTCTGTTAATAGCAGATTTGTCTAAGAAAAAAGTTGTCATATATTATTACTAAGATAATGTATCAAATTTTTTTTAATCACAAATGCAAACAATTTTATAATTTAAGTGAATTAAGTGCTATAAAATAATAATACTGATAATAGAATAATTACATATGTATTACCTCATGTTTTGCATCAATTGAAAAATCATGAGAAGCATGTTTGTTCCATTTTTTTGAAATTCTAAAATAAAAATAAACAGTAATGAAATAAAATAAAATTAATAATTATTAAGAAATACATTTACTTATTCTAAAGTTGAAAAAGATTACATGAAACAAGGTAAAATTCAAATTATTATTAAATATATGAATAATATAAATATAAATACCATATTTTCTCAATTATATCTCTAAGTCATCAAATAAACCCTGTAGAATGAAGGTGTTATTAAAAAATAAATCCCAGATTGAAAAACATGGAAAACATGTTGAAGTACAGATCAGTATAGCATAATGTAGTTTAGAATGGCAGGTTTTTTTTTTGTTTTACTCTTTCCACCCTGTGAGCAGTAAGAGGGCCTTTTTTCTCAAGTCCATTGTAAGTTTGACCAGGCCCCACAAGGTGGTGGCCAAGTAGTAAGAAAGGTCTGTGAGGCCAGGTCTGTCCCAACAGACATGGATAATATCATCCCAAATAAAATCTTAGGGATTTTTGACTCTCTCGAGGCAGTTAAGATATCAAGTTATCACTCTGGAGTGCTAGGTTGGTGCCTTAACTGCCTTAGCCAACTAGCCAAGATGATGAGTTTAAACCAGAAGATTGTAGTCAAGATCCAACAATATCAAAATAGACAATTTAACAACCAAATCAAAAAATGCTGAATCAGATTAAATATGAATATAGTAATTATTTCAAATGTTGTAGCTGTAACCTGTAAATTAAAACAATTAAAATATTTCTTTCAATTTTTATCTACTTGTTTCTTTTTGTAAGGTAATAAATCCCTGTCTCAAAAATCTCTGAGGATACATGCAGTTTTAAAATAAACCCTCCTAGTGTTTAATCAAAGAAAATACAGTATTATATATAGTCGAATTTTCGTCGATGTTAANATTTTCTCAATTATATCTCTAAGTCATCAAATAAACCCTGTAGAATGAAGGTGTTATTAAAAAATAAATCCCAGATTGAAAAACATGGAAAACATGTTGAAGTACAGATCAGTATAGCATAATGTAGTTTAGAATGGCAGGTTTTTTTTTTGTTTTACTCTTTCCACCCTGTGAGCAGTAAGAGGGCCTTTTTTCTCAAGTCCATTGTAAGTTTGACCAGGCCCCACAAGGTGGTGGCCAAGTAGTAAGAAAGGTCTGTGAGGCCAGGTCTGTCCCAACAGACATGGATAATATCATCCCAAATAAAATCTTAGGGATTTTTGACTCTCTCGAGGCAGTTAAGATATCAAGTTATCACTCTGGAGTGCTAGGTTGGTGCCTTAACTGCCTTAGCCAACTAGCCAAGATGATGAGTTTAAACCAGAAGATTGTAGTCAAGATCCAACAATATCAAAATAGACAATTTAACAACCAAATCAAAAAATGCTGAATCAGATTAAATATGAATATAGTAATTATTTCAAATGTTGTAGCTGTAACCTGTAAATTAAAACAATTAAAATATTTCTTTCAATTTTTATCTACTTGTTTCTTTTTGTAAGGTAATAAATCCCTGTCTCAAAAATCTCTGAGGATACATGCAGTTTTAAAATAAACCCTCCTAGTGTTTAATCAAAGAAAATACAGTATTATATATATATATGAAATACTGTATTTTCTTTGATTATATTTATTATAATATATATATACAGTGGGTGATTGGTTAACGAACATAATCCGTTTCAAGGCTTTGTTCATTATCTGAATTGTTCGTTAACCGATTATCAATTTACCATAGGTTTTTATGGGAATTTGATTAATTCATTCCGGAGACTCCAAAAAATAAAAAATATATGCTTTTTTTACTACGTTTATTTATATGTAATAGTAAATATATATAAATATATGCAGTCTTGCATTTTTATTAGTCATGTTTTTTCTGTTTGTGAGTGTTAAAGAATCTGTCCAATGTCAATTGCTTTTCTCTTTTCTTCAGGATTTTTTGCAAGTAATTAATAGTATTGTAATTGTAGAGATCCCCAACCCCATTAGCCTTATTCTGGTTTGGATGCCACTTGGATGATCGTTGTTCTGACATCCCTGAACTTCTTATGTTGTTAGATCAGTTTCAGGTTACATTGAGATCTAAAATGCTCTTTATTTCTCAGATGTGATTTTCGTTACTCCATTAACAGCTTGAGACTTCTTGATATATCTTTCATAGCTAAGATTGTGCCTACTGTAGACCAGTTCGAGCCATACTGTCTAGCAACATCAGACATCTTGTGCCCACTTTCTACCTTGGCTATTATCTCTTACTCAGTTTCTATGGTGAGCACAGTTCTTGACATTCCTCTTTTTTAGGCATCATAATATCATCAGTTTCTTTTTTAAATAAAAATTCAGAAAAGCACTTACAAAAATTCAGAGAACAGAAATCAACTAGTCCACAAAAAATTATTTAAATGCAAGGCCCGGATGAAATTCGAAATTTGGTATTAAAACGTTAACAAATATCCGATGGGACAGTTAAACTTTCATCTTTCATAAATAAATCCCGACGCAAAACTTAACAAGTGCCCATCTGACATTCTTGCGAATACTATAGAAATTATTTGTCAAAAACGTAAACAAAAAGCTGGAATTACAAGGGAGAGTTTCAAAATTTGGAGGGATACTATCTGATCGATATCGGGTTGAGCGTCGATGTTGACGTCTCCCGCGCTCCGAAAGGTTTCGAATTGTTACCTGAAGAAAAGGGAAAATCAATCTGTATTCGTTATTTTCCGTCGCTTCTTTTTATGTTTGTTCAGTAAAGTTTTTGTTATCCGCACATGGGTTCATTGTCTGATCATAAAAATCTTTCTCAAAAGTGTTCATTATCC